AAAATAACTTTTTTTTTGTTAGTTCTGAATATCTAAGAATTGTACAATGTATGTACTTACATGAATACTGGGTGATGAATCTTGAATGATGAAACATATTTGTGAATTCATACTTCAAGTACTGATAAGTTAACGGGTGGAAAAACACTGAGTTTTTTTAATGACGATTAATTGCATATAGTTGTTAAATCAGTCTTCTCTAAGTCATGTGGAAGACCAAAACAAATGGAGCATCTTATATGCAGAACTGGTATGCCAGTTCAAGTGTTACTTCTTTCAAGCAAAATGCTAAGAGTTTTTATTCTTCATCAACTGCCTATTCAGCTCTTTATCTGTCAGTTTCTTTTCTTTTTCCCTCTATTCTATCATTCCTGTTAATTTCTGTTCATGAGATGTGGAACACCTTTCTGAATGAATAATATTATTGTACTCTCAGCAAAATGTCTGGGATATTAGGGTTATGAATGTTTTTTCAGCTCGTATAAATTAAATGCCAGAGGGGTCGCAATATTATTCAACAATAATTTTGAATTTAAATCTAAGAAACTTAAAAAAGATCAAACTGGTAAATTTTTAGCTGTAGAGATTGAAATTGATTCTGTAAGTTTGACTGCATCGTTCTGAAGAAGAAAATTTCAAGAAAGTTCAAAATTGAAAAAAAATTAAAAATTTGTTAAATTTTGAAAACTTCACCCAACAGCGAGCTTTTTTATTTGACATATTCTCTGATAACATGTCATGACAAAAATTTAGATAAGGAAATTCTCTAAAAATAATATAATTGCACAAATTCTGTATAATCAACGATTTTGTAGAACCTTTATGTCGGATCATTCTATCGCAAAGCTAATGTTGAAATTTTGTGATATTACGACAAAGACCGAACTGTTTTGCGGCAATGTTTACTTCCGTCGAATGGTAAGTTTATGCAAACATGTATGCTTTTTCTTTTGCCTTCAGGACTGGGGAACCTCCCGATGCCATCTGTCAAAAACACGTGTGTGAGTCGACGGAAGTAAACATTGCCGCAAAACAGTTCGGTCTTTGTCGTAATATCACAAGATGACTAAGTTGTAATAAAGAGATAACAAAGTCGTAATTATGAGATAGTTAAGTCGTAAATACGAGATAACTAAGTCGTAATTACGAGATAGCTATGTCGTAATAACGAGATGTTTAGTCGTAATTACGAGATGCTAAGTTGTAATTACGAGATACCTAAGTCGTAATTACGACTTAAAAAAAAAATAACTCTTGAAAAAAGTGGCACTAACCGGCTTCCGTAGAAAAGAAACTTCATACACATCTAGGTCTTACTTTTAGTGATGATGCAAAGTGGAATCAACACATATCTAATATCTATGAAAAAGCATATAAAAGAGTAAATATCTTAAGGTTAATGAAAAACAAAATTGATAGAAAATATCTTACTACCTTGTATACTTCGTACATTAGGCCAATTATTGAATGCGCAAATGTTGTTTGGGATAACTGCACACTGGCTCAAAAACAATTATTGGAATCCATACAACTTGAGACTGCTAGATTAATTACAGGTTTACGTAGAGGGACATCGCATGATAAATTATATAGGGAACTAGGATGGGAAACTTTGAGTAGCAGAAGATATAAACATAAATTTATCTTAATGTATAAGATAATTAATAATGAAACTCCAGATTGCTAAAGTGAAATAATTCAACTATATATACATGATGAAACCCAAGACAGATATCCCTTGCGTACAAATAGAATTTTTGATCCCCCATTGTGTCGCATAGTAAATTACTACGAAAGTTTCTTTCCGCGCATGTTTAATGAGATTAATAGACTTACACCAGATATTAGTAATATCCATTCCACATCTCAGTTGAATAGGTTATTGAACAAGAATCAATATGTAGACTCTGAAACAAATTATGCTTTTAGATTTCTAGGTAATCGTGATACAAACATTGTACTGTGCCAGTTAAGAAATAACGCTAGTAATCTTAACTATGATCGTTTCAAAGATCATCTAATAGAATATCCAATGTGTGAGTGCACTCAATCTTCTGAAACTACCCTACACTTCTTCTTTGAGTGCAATAGATATACTGATATTCGACAGTCCCTACGAAAGAACTTGCATCATGATATTCATAATCATTTATGTGAAAAGGTTTTATTACATGGTTATGTTCTTTGTAATGATATACAAAATAGAGTCATCCTATCTCATGTTTCAAATTTTATTTCACGTTCTAAGAGATTCCCATTTTTCAATGCCTAATGTACAATCATTCTAATGATACATGACTTTATTTCCAATACGAAGTATCTAATTGAATGCGGTATGGTAAACATCCTATATGTGCTTTCAGAAATTCCTATTTATCAATTAAACCCCCAAGTTGACTACTACTATAGCAATACTACACATACCTGATGTATTATTATGAATCATCATCTCTTACATTTTCCCTCTTATACTAGAATTAAATGCAATGTAAGCCTGGTCTGGGCAGCTAAGATGGCTATTTTCACTTAAGTAACTATATGAAGTAACTCCTTCTTATTTAAAAAAGCAATCTTCATATAATAAATAACACTTGTTGTAACCTTACTTACAAACTATGTATATCTGTTTGTTGAAATTGGGTTTTAAACCCAAACAGTTTGGCCAGTGTGTTGTGCATATGGACTACATGTGGCCTTATCTGCTGGGAGAAAAATCTAATTTCTACAAATATTTGAACTCATCAGGTCAAAATTAAGACTATGAAACTATCTCAAACGAGATCATCTTGATTAATGCTCAAACTCAATAGTCATAACATTGGGTTACTTCCTGATGTAATCCTGAACTAGTTTGTTTACAATAAGGAGTTACTTTCCCTTATGTCTTTCTGTAACAAAATTGTATATATATATATGTTTGTTTGTTTGTTTACCTCAGGTTGTCACCTGAAAGAGAGGACTTAAATAGGCAATGAGTGATGTCCAATTCCTTTTGACATTTGTCAAAAAAATTTAAATTAAAACTCAATAGTCATAACATTGGGTTACTTCCTGATGTAATCCTGAACTAGTTTGTTTACAATAAGGAGTTACTTTCCCTTATGTCTTTCTTTAACAAAATTGTATATATATATATGTTTGTTTGTTTGTTTGTTTACCTCAGATTGTCACCTGAAAGAGAGGACTTAAATAGACAATGAGTGATGTCCAATTCCTTTTGACATTTGTCAATAAAATTTGTTGAAATTGAAATTGAAAGCTGACCTCGGAAAGTGATATTAACGTACAAGTATTTCCACAAAATACCAAGTGCAACAGATAACAGATAATAACACATTTTCTTATTAGTTCAATAAGGATGTAGAATGGAATAATGGTTTTCCTTGTCGGTGATGTTAATGGCCTAACAAATCGACTACTAAGAAAAAATGATAGAACCCCCATAATTAAATGAATATCATAATGTTCATGATCGGTTGATTTCAAAATACTATCCAATACTTGTGTGTAATCGTCAAACTGCAATTAAGTGAATTTGATTATGATATTGATTTAAATCTCTAAGTGGCTAGATAATTAATCACTACTAATTAAGTTTGTTCACACCCACATACACATACACATATACACACATACATACTTCCACCCGCCCAAACACCACACACACACTCCCATCCGCTCACACACACCCACACTCGCACACTCCCACCCGCACACACCACACCACACACACACACACACATACCCTAACACACCACACACACACACACACGTCGAGAGACATACACACATACGACGAGAGAGAGACATATACACTCTAGCAAGCATATTTATAAGAGAAATAACGTCAATTCACTTTACTCCTAACGTAAGTAATCATGTCATGTTGGCACCAGTCAAATCCCATTTAGTGTAAGTATTTCTGCACACCAAATATAAACTGTGTGTATATTTTGGTATCAATTCTCCGTATAGAATATCTTCTTTAAGATCGATTAAAGGTGAGCCGACATTCAAAATGACGAATCATACAGATTATTCCATTCTGAGTTCAAAGCGTCCGATCAGTATACTCTGACTACACATCAATGATAAGATTCTTATTTTACTTATGACAGATGTGAAACATTGGAACGCTCACAGTTAAAAGGGAAAATTGATAATTTTAGACGATAAAGTGCACTGAGTCACGTCAAGGACAAAATTTACTTGGTGCACGCGCTGTGTCAGTACTATAATAATAAGGACCACAAGGTGATAGTTCAGTACTGATAAGAACAGAGTGAGCATACGTCCGTAATATAGAACGTATTGGCCTACCGAGGTAAGATCGTGTATTTACAGTTTACAGTTGAAACTTGTTAAGATGGTTTCACATAAGCATTGTATCTGTTACTTATTTGAAACGTTCCGTAATTATACAGATGAGCCTTAATTATTACTTCGTAAATAAAGTAGAACAAAATGTTAAAATCTATACTAGATGGGTATACTAGCCAAATAATTAAACCCTGTATAAGATTTTATACATCTAGCAATATAAGAACATAGTATATGTGTGTTTTCTGAACCATGGCATTATTCTATTGAAACAAAACGTTTTTACCAACTGCGATCTCGTAGTTTGGAGAAAAAAAGTTTTTAAGTAATTACCTTTAACATGACAGTATGTCACGGATTTCTGATGTATTATTATTAATCTCGCTTACTTTATTTAAATGAGGTTTGATTGTACACATATACTGAAGTGCAAAAGTAAGTATACATTGGAGTTTAGGACAAAATCGCTGTAAGTCAAACTAATACATATTATGTATCTTTTGAAACTTCATTTTATCAGTTAATCATACTATATGAAGCGTTAAGTTACGTTCGGTACACTGACGTCAGTTACTTGACAATGTGATGAGGGGTCATTAATGGAAACGTCCAATACAAAGTCTATTTATTATCGCGTGTGACCACCATTTGCGTTAATCACAGCATTGATTCTTCTCCTCATGGACCTGGTATGTCGTGGGATAGTGTTCCTAGGAATGATCCGCCATTCCTCGTGGAGTGCCTGCTCAAGTTCTGCCAAAGTTGTTGGTGAGTTTTGGCGTCGTAGTACACTATCGGACTTAAATCCTGGGATTTTGATCGTTAATAACATTAATGTTATTGGTTCTCAGGAAGTTTTCTGTTGCTCGCGCAGTGTGCAGGGTGGCATTGTCATGCATTAACGTCAAATTTGGGCCATGACGTCTGAAATATGTTAAAATCTATTGGTTCAGTACCTCAGCGCAGTACGTTGCTGCAGTAAGATTCCCCGGAATCGTGATCAGATCTGTTTTGTCATTATGTCGGAGTCCTCGCCACACCATAACACTTACCCTTCCCCAACGGTCGAACTGTTGTACAAAGTTATCGTGAAAACGTTCTCCACGACGTCGCCATACTCTACAGAGTCCATCGCTCATGCTGAGATAAAAATCTCGATTCGTCTGTGAAAACTACACGATTCCGGACCCATTGTGTTAAATTGACGTTGGCCAGCTCACTGAAGACGCTTTCGTCGATAATGTTGTGAAACAATCAAACCTTTATATGGCCGCCGAGCTTTTAAGGAAAGATTTCAGCCGTCTTCGAATTTTCCATGGACTGACACGATTCCGAAAACAACGTCGTGACGTCAAATAACGATCCCTGAGATGACAAGGCGGATATATCTGTACTCTCTAGCGGACGTTTTATGCGGTCGACCACTTCTTGAAAGAGCTTTTGTCGTTCCGTGAATCCTATACTTTCTCCACAATTTAATGATTGTCAGTCGTGTTACGTTGAACGTTCGAGCAACGTCATTTTATCTGATGTTGATTAGGAGCATTCCAACTTCCCTCTCTCTTTGTTCCTTTGTAAATCGTGGCATATCTGTATTTGTTAATCATCAATGGCGAATTGCCGGGTTACGTCTCTAGTACAGATGTAAGTGCAGGTAACACAATACACACGGATAGCGTGCACTGCACGTGCAAAGTTAGAAAAACAGCAACATTCGGTCAGACGTTTTTATGCATGGATGGTTTTTCGTTTGTTTTCATCTCAGAATATGATTTTGTGTCAGGAATATCATATAAATTATAAACTATACCGATCTTTATCTCAATTTTAAAAAGAAATATATTTTTCGCATGTATACTCAACAAAAAAAAAAAAGGTTCTGTATTAGCGAAAGAGCGTCACGAGGTTTTCTGCGACTAACTTGTATCTTCGCTTGAATTTCATAAACATTCAAGCTGACAACTGTTCCTTAGATCCTTAGGACTTAGAAATTATCGAATCTTGCTATCTATCAACTTTATCATTATGCCCTGTCACAAGTACAGAGAGAAAGGGCTGTAGGCATGATCCAGGCTGGGGAGTCTCGCCGTCGAGTTGCACGGCATTTTGGTTGAAGTGTTAAGACAATTTGCCCGTTGGTAAGTCGTTTAAACCAAACTGGGTCAACATCCGATCGTCCCCGAAGCGGTCGACCCAGTAAAACGACCGCCAGGGTTGACCGTCGTATACGATTGATACACTTCCGCAATCGATTAGTAACCGCAGTAGAGACTACAAGGACATTGTTTGGGCGTCGTGTGTCTCCCCAGTCCGCAACAGGTTGAGGGCCTACCAATTGAAAGCGCGGCGTCCCTACACAAGACCCAATTTGTTGCGACGTCACCGTAATAATCGGCGAAACTGGACCCGTGTTCACCGTCGTTGAGCCTTACGACAATGGAACAATGTTCTGTTTTTAGATGAGTCCAGGTTTTGTCTGCAATACGGTGATGGAAGGCGCAGAGTGTGGAGGCGACGAGGGGAGCGTTTTGCGAACTGCTGCGTCACAGAACGGGACCGCTTTGGCGGCGAAAGTGAAATGGTTTGTGGTGGTATTTGTGGGGGGAATCGTACCAGGCTTGTTGTGTTAAATGGCAATTTAACCGGCATTCGATATCGGGACGAAAGTTTAAGACCAGTGGTCCTGCCATTCTTAAGACGCCATGGCGTTGGTGCCATTTTTCAAAAGGATAACGCACCAGCGCACACCAGTCGCGTCAGCAAAAGTTTCTTGCAGCAGAATAACGTACAGGTGTTAGATTGGCCATCTAAATCACCTGATTTGTCACCGATTGAGCATGTCTGGCACGTTCTTGGGCGACGCGTGAGAGAACGTCAAAATCAGCCGTCAAACTTGCAGGAGATGGCCAAAGCCTTGATCGCTGAATGGAACTACATCTCTCCTTGAATTATCCGCCGGTTTACGAGTTCCATGCGACGACGCTGCAATGCTGTTTACTTCGCAAATGGTGGCCATACCCGTTACTAATGGTGTTACCTTTGAAATTGACCCCAACGTCCTTTACAGTCGAATAAAATCAACTGAACGCAAAGTTTTGTAATGAACCATGACTGCAGTTCTATCAGAATTGATCAATTACTTTATTCGTACATGATTGGTAAGGATTTATGAAGGGGTTAATTAATTAATCACAGAATAAAGTAGTGTTACCTTTCTTTTTTTGTTTAGTATATACTTCCTTTTGCACATCAGTATATTAATGTACGTTATACTTAAACTTACGATATTGCAGTAGAAGAATTTATATACGTATTTAATCTAATGAGTATCAAATACATATGTATATCTGAGAACAGTTTTGATTTGCAATTGTGTAACAGCAGTGTGGTCTTAGTATACTTATAAAGGCATCCACAGTCTTTTAAAAAATGTTTCTTTTTTTAATCTTTGTTTGTATTTGGTCCCAGCATACAGAAAAGAGAAGAAAATACTTTTTTGGGGAGCAAATATTCTTCACATGTCCGCGTTTCTAAAGCTTGCTCTTGTTATATGGTATGAAAAAGTTATAAGGTTTTTCGTAAATGAAAAGAGAAAATGAGTCATACTCATTTCTAAAGAATCATCTACAATGTATGTTATGGCATGATTTTTGAATAATTTGTGCAGTGACGTTCACTCAATTTAGATATGAAATAATTGATATGAGTTTCTTTCAGGTGATAAATCTAGCAGCTTTAATTGATATTCAGTACTCATACCAACAACAACAATGCTACTGTCGTGGACTTTGCTGCTGATATCAACGGTGACTATAGTTATAGGGAACCACCCTTGGCAGTGTGATCACTGTGTGACTCATTGCTGTCACCGTCATCATCATGATAGTCATGGTAAGATATCATAGTACGGTAATATCATTCCTGGACCAAACAGTGAACATGACACCGTCTTTGTAGAAAACAATTCATTTTTTGGTTTGTCATGATTTTATATAAACATATATGTGTTTGGTTTGTGAACATGACACCGTCTTTGTAGAAAACAATTCAAGATAATTCGTTATTATACAGTTCCTCCGTTTTATAACATATACATATATAATGTAAAAAAATTGACACGTGAAAGTTGTCAGTTATATGGCATTGCATTTTAAAGGAAGACAGAATTTACATATCTGAAATTTTGATTGCAATATTTCATTGTCAATCTATTCGATAGGGTTCGGAGGCCAACTGTGCAAATAATTACAAAAATACTTGTTTCAGACTGTTCTACCTGTAGAGACCACTGTTGTACAGCACACTCATCAGTTACAACCCCTGGTGAGTACTCTGAGCTACATGGACGTTTCAATTACACATAGTGATTTATCTTATATAAATCACAGCAAAGTATTTCACATAACAATACATATTCACAACACAGTATTTCACATAACAATACATATTCACAACACAGTATTTCACATAACAATACATATTCACAACACAGTATTTCACATAACAAAACATATTCACAACACAGTATTTTCACATAACAAGACACATTCACAACACAGTATATCACATAACAATACATATTCACAACACTGTATTTCACATAACAATACATATTCACAACACAGTATTTCACATAACAATACATATTCACAACGTAGTTTTTCACATAACAAGACACATTCACAACACAGTATATCACATAACAATACATATATAATACACTACAGCGCATTAGAATAAAATTTATAACACAACCAGTAGAAGATAAGAGTGTGACGTTTCGATGACTACACGGTCATCTTCATCCGACAAATGACCAATGTGGAGCGTGATAGTAATGACATGCGCAGTGTACGAAGTGGTAGGGAATCGGTCATTTTTGGCGGCTGTACAATTATCAATCCTATGTACACTGAGGTAGAAAATAGTGTGACGAGATGTTAAACAGATTGTAGACCAAATAACACTAGATTGTTACAATGACCTGTTTACATGTATTATATATTTTTTTATCTGTAATGGATATAATTTTCATTAACCATCATCTTTTGAACCCTTCTGTTATAAGTTTGTCAGTCAGTTGACGACTTATTGCACTTATATTATGATATTAGAAACAGACCCTTGACATTTAAATACCATAGGATGGAGATGTTGAATATTTCTATCAAGAAATGGAAAATTCATAATGGGGAGATTGAAATCATCACGTTTATCATCAGCTTGATAGAAAGCTGTCCTTGTTGGTTTCATTGTAGAAAAAATCGAGATAAATAGCTGATGTAGAAGAGGCTGTCTTATCTTTGATTTCCAGTTCTGATGGATATGCACGATAGACATAGTCAATAAATTTCTTGTTATTTAAAAGACAAGACGTCACCAATATATCTGAAGGGGAAATTAAACGACTTTGCAGGTTCTAATATGCTCTTCAATAAATTCAGTCTCGTAAGAAAACAAAAACAAGTCAGCCATTAGAGGGGTACAGTTGTATCCCATAGGTATGCGAAAGGTCTGTTGGAAGATCTTACTGGACGAAGATGTTGGCAACTTGAAACTTTATCATCTTACTTGTACGTAATTTGTATGAAATATGCTTCAGCATTTATACTGCCGTTCACTTTTCCTTGAGACGGAAGCCTTCGTGACAAGAGGACGAAGACGTTCCTTCAGTTTAGGATGGATATGGTGGTGTATAGGGTGGAAAAATAAAAATGAAATCTTCGTTAGAAGAGGTTTTTGAAGATTGGCGAAAATCTCTTTGGAGGCCTTCAAAGTTCACATACTATCAATTCCATTTCTTGAGTAAACAGTATCACAATAAGACTGTAACAGAGATTCGATATTACTTAGAATGGTGGTTAGTAGTTTCGACAAAGGCCTGGTTGAACACTTAGACGAGCCAGCTGTATGGATTCTTGTGAAGTTTAGAGATCTAGTATAAACGGGTGAGATCCGTATCATTATCATTCATAGGCAACATAAATTATTGTTATACCACATGTAACCATCTTTTTATTCCAGTTTTAAACCAATTTTTATGGAATAGTGGTTTGCGGTTAATGGGTAGATCTTCCTTTTCACATACATTTGCTTTTAGGATCTCTTGTTTCGAGAATTTGGAATTTTTGAGCTATGCATTGTTTGTACATATCTGCTAATCTAAATCTTTTGAGGTGATACATGTGCATAGAGATAAAAAAAATGAAGACAGTATTCGCAATTTTTAAGAATTTGTATATCAATTTAACTTTCTTAATTTTGTCAATCTCATCTAAATTCAGCTATCCAAGCTACCCTTTGCTCATGATTGGTAACAATAATTTTTACTTTTCCATAAAATTCTTACCTTTTATCATATATTTGATTTTCATATTCATGAGGATATTGTATAAACAACTTGAGAGCATGAGAATGACGTAGCTGTAAGATTTTTTCCCGTCAAGAGTGTGTTATTTCTTTTTTCCTTTGAATCAAGATATTTTGCATCATTGTTTTTTTTTTAGTTATCATATCTTTGATTTCTCAATACTGTAACCATAATATACCCCTAATGTTTTGTTGCCTTTTCCCCAAAGTCCTTTAAAACTTCACGGTCGTTGTTTCCATGCTCCTAATACATTATCCTTTTTGTTCCATGTTCCATTGGCTCCTGATGGGTTTTTCATATCAGGATAGGTACTGAACTTCAAACCTGTTTTTCTAATTAGCAAAAACGGATCAAGATTCGCCTGCAAACATATTTATCTATTCCTGACATTGTCAGTTGTTGGGTAACTCTGTATATATCGTTAGTGTTTCTAATATGTATCATTTTCTAATATGCTACAGCATCTGTCTGAATATTGTATAGAATCGGTGCGACAGAGTATTCCTGATTTACATACATAAATTTGTATTGCTTTTTAGCTGATAGCGTTCTGTCATAATCGCATAGTCACAGGTTAGTAAAGTAATATGGCGCAAACCTGCTCTCGTTTACCTCGATAAGACACTTCAATAAATTTACTATAAATAATTTGAATGACATTATCAGCCCCGGATTCGTTTCAACCTTACGAGATCAACTGTTTTTTTTTAAGTTCTTACGATATAGTATTTATCTTACTACCAACACAACCATCTTGACATTTTATGGATTTCTAAATGTTGTTGGCATCCCGTCTTTTTTCTATTTTAAAAGAAAAGAAAACAAACAAACAAAAATAACTAAAGATTTTTCACCCTGATCAAACTGTCAGGTATTCTTGGTATTATTGATACCTCATTCTAAAATACGAAAATTGCATACAATAACGGAACCAACAAGCAAATTAACGGACATCAAACAGATTTATATCGCACGACGAAATACCATATTTCTCAATGAGATCACTAAGACGCCCAGAAAACTTCCCTATAATTTTCATCAACGTGCATCTTTTGAAACCCTGTATTACGAGTTTGTCCGTCAGTTGACTTCTTACATAAAAATTTCGATAATGAGAAATACAAAATGAGAACTGCTTTCAAACGTTCATAAAGGTTTACATGGTGGGTGTTGTCGATGAAGCAGAAGATGATTGTTCTTCCAGAACACCTGGTCTTATTCACCATGCACTTTTTCTGAAGGCATCATGAAGATTCTTCTTTTGTTCTTATTTTGCCCTTGTTTGATTGTGATTGTGTCTGGATTATGTTTTGTTGGTATTTTCTGGTTGCTTTTGTTTTCCTTCATAGACCTCTTCACATTAACAACTGTCAATCAAACACACAGAAGTATTGACAACATCCGTGATAAACATTGAATAAAACATAACATAGAACAAAATTTATATCATAAATCACAACTCAAGCAGTTCCAAATCAGAACAGATGATACATTATTTAAAATACAGACACAAATGAAATGATCAGTAGGGACTTCTGTGATAACGTCCCAATGGTTTAGAATATATAAGATATAGAACAAAAGATAAAAAGGTTAAATGAACACACTGCACACGTTGTCTGCAACGTGTAACGGTAAATGGTTCCAAATAATGGTAAGATAAACTGTGTTGGAATTGTCTCGCTGTTTCAGACATCATGCAGTCTTAATATGAAATAAAAAACACAAAAAAGGCACAAGTTAACACTGATGAAAAATAGTAGAGATTAAATAAAATAAACCATATATCTGTTTCGTACTTCGTGGACTCGTGATTAATGCTAAGGGTTTGTATTTCGAAACCTAGGATGTTATTGAAGAAATTCAAACTTAACGAAAATAAATGTCAAACCCCGATTCGGAGGTGACTCATATTTAATATCATTTTTAATTAATGATAATTTAATAACCGTAAGTCTTAATTAATACCTTGCGCCGTACCACTATTAGAATGAAGTAAATAATGTAGTTTAACAGGCAATTCACATATGCAGAGGATTATTTTTAAGGTAACTACACATCAACTGTTTCGAAACATACATGTTGTTACTTCCCTTTTTGCCAGCACAATGTTTTTCGCGGAATACTGAATCCCTGTCAACCTTACATCATCAGAAAATGCTGATAGAATATGTCTTTGTTCTATTCTCATCCCTTAATAATTTGTATTGTGTTATAGTTTTTTCAACGTGGTCAAACTGTTCGGAGGAGTGTGGTGGAGGTAGGCAGTTTCGGCACTGCGTTCACAATTGTCCAGACGAGCACATGCCTGAGGAAGAGCAAGATTGTAACACACAACCATGTCCTACATCAAGTAACATTCCTGTTTAATATAACATCGCGATAGATATATAAAGAAGTTTCAGTCTCACGACCAATTAATCTAGTGATGCTTACACTTTGATTTTGCTTGTCAAACAGTTATTTGAACACTATATTTTGACGAAATAAGAACCGTATTGAACACTCAATCTGCACACCAACCGCAATATTCTTTATGTTGTAGGTAAGATTTTTCAATGGTCAACATGGAGTGACTGGTCAAGTTGCAGTGTAACAAATCAGCCATGCGGAAATGGCCTCAAGACACGAAAACGGCATTGTATCAAAACTTCCCATGGCCACACCGAAGTAGTCGGAGATAGTCATTGTCATTCTCATGAGAACGCTGGATGTGTCGACCAAGTCGAGTGTTCAGTCCATTGCTCACGTGAGCCAGCTTCTATTTCAGTAAAAAATTTTCTACGAAATATTCAATTTTGATGTTCTGATGGTCACAGTATGACATAAGCATTATATATATATATAAATCAATTTGATGGGGAATAAAAACTGCATGATGTTGCCCAAAAATGGATTTCATGTTAAGATATTTTAATTGAACAGTAAAAAATAAGAACAAGATTAAAAGAATTATGATTTTAGCTGTGGATGGTTCTTGGAGTGAATGGGGGAGTTGGGGTCAATGTTCGGCTACCTGTGGACCTGGACATCATACCCGAACCCGTGTCTGTAACAACCCTAAACCACAACATGGAGGCCAACAATGCAGTGGACATCATGAAAACACAGGATCTTGTAATTACAAGTGTCCAAGTGAGTTTTATGGTGCGACTTATGTTATATATTCAGGAAATCAGTGATCGTAACATTGTACCATTAATATGCCTATTGTCCTTATATTCTACCAGGCAAATTTTCATACAGATCCAAATGATGCATATTCCTTATGGAACTCATTGTGAATGTATTATAGACAGAAACAAACGAGTGCATCACCAAGAAAATTCCATCAGGATTCCTTATATAAGAAAAAGAGGTATAAAACATTTTTCTAGTATTGTACTCCCTCCTGGAATATTTGGTCTCGTTCTACATGTGCTTTCTTTTCAGGAGTCTCCATATAAAGCTTTCTTTTGTTCAGATTCACTGAATTTGAGTTTGGATTATGGTTATGTTCCCATGTGTGTATTGTCTTGTTTCATATATCATTTATACAACCGTATCCAGAACCATTTGAGGATATTTAGTCTTGGTTCTCACAGTTGATGGAGGATGGAGTGAATGGTCTAATTGGTCTTCGTGTTCAGCTTCCTGTGGCACAGGAAGACATTCCCGGCATCGATTCTGTAACAATCCTGTACCAAAAAATGGCGGTCGCACCTGTCATGGTCACGCGTCAAACAAATCCTCATGTACCACTTCGTGTCCACGTGAGTGTAGTATGATTACTTAAAGTTGGGATGTCAGCATGTCAAAACTTTCGAATAGCAGCATACTTAACGGAAATACGTCATTGAATTAATCCAAATAATGGATTAGGTTTTTAGCTCCTGCTCTCTCCGTCAGTCAGACCATTACCAAGTGGCATTTTCCTTTAACGACCGGTAGCCCAAGTTAGGAGTAACAAGTCTTCATTGACGAAACGACACAGGGTAGATATATTTCGCCAGGGTTTATTGCTTTCGTTCGTCATAAATGACTGTTGAGAAAGTGCATTATCAGTATAAGTAGCATAATTTCTTACGTGAGTTTTATACATGATTGTCCATATACCATACTGTAACAATATCCTGGTGCTTGGTAGCCCAATAGAATTGGCGCTGATGTCGGAGGCATAAACTCTGTCAATGAAGAGGTAGACAATCACAAAAACAACACGGTCATGATAATCAATTAGGGACTGTTCCTTTTTATTTTATATAATTTCAACGCAATGTACACTACATGAAGGTTACACTACGAGTGATTCTTGTATATTGTATTTCTTAAACCTAAGTTAGTAATTGTTTTCAAAAATAACAAAAAAAAACTAGTCTTAGTTTGTGTTATATGTATGGTAATATTATACGTTAACTAGGCGTCTTACACACAACCACATTGAATTGCTAAGGGCAGTGAACAACCATCGCACATGTACACAAATCAACGGTAGTTACAAGACCACACACTCTTATGCATGCACAATCGGCATAGGCAAAATGACGCAAGCTTTATTGTCACATCTTTATCTAGACTCTTCGCAATGTAAGAGCAAATATTGTCCTTTGAATGAAATTGATATTACAGAATTGTAGCAAGGAGTAAAAATGACATCATTTTTGATAAAATTGTGTTTTAGATTTTAGAGGTTCGCAACTGATTTAATTTTTTTCCTATGGTGACTATATTTTATTTGACCATGAAGCCTTGAAGTATAACAGTGTAATGTTTTAGAAGGCTATAAAGTGTAATGGGGGGTGTGAATGTTGCAGTTTGTTTAAATTTCCTGTACCCGCGTATGAAAAAACCGCCTTAGCTGTAGTCCATATGTATCTATAAATGTCTTTTAACTGAAGCTGTCGTGAATGGAGCATGGGGTCAATGGTCGAGTTGGTCTCCATGTTCGGTAACTTGTGGAACAGGACATCGAACTCGAACCCACGTCTGTGACAATCCTAAACCACAAAATGGAGGTCATCAGTGCCATGGACACAATTTGGATAGACAATCGTGTACTAACCATTGTGAAAGTACGTTTAACCCAGATTTCATATTAGCAGATGGATATTGATAAATATGCATATAATATACATCCGTTATGTAGGACTTGTTACGCCTGCATTCTCGGTAAATTATTGCTATTTAAATTTGTCCTAAAAATCTGGATTAAGCCATGCGTGGGACTCTTTACAAACCATGCTTCACTGAAAACCTTATCGTAAAATTGTACCAAAAAAATGACAACACTAAAATCTCTGATGTAATGACTGGCTGAGCTGTCGGTCCTTCCTGACGGTTATAAATATCCTCAACCCAAACATCCTAAAATGTTTTTTTCGTCAGAAGCAAAATGGGAAGGGATCTGAAAATATAAAATCCTAGTCACTTTTTCAGGAATTTCCGTATAAATCTTCTTTTTGTTTATATTTTGCCCTTGTTTTATTTGAGGCTTAATTATGATTAATGTTGACAGGATGGTATTTTCTAGATATATCATGAAAAAATTATTTTCAAAAATTGAAAGAAAGTTCTCTAGACTTATCAGTATGTGATGACCCAAACTGAAAACAGCATGTATTTCAGTGGTTGTTTTCATTCCAAGGCTTTATATTAGACATCAGCTGACTACATTAACCAAGATGTACATGGTGATGTCGAAATGAAGCTTACTGGATAGCCATGTCTTATTCTCATTTGTTTATGAGTCTCCGTGCTGGAATTGAGAGCCTGTTGACATGTCGGCATTTTCTTTGTCATTTTTCTGACGGATGGAATTCAGGTGGGGTGGGGGTTGGGGGGACTTCGTGAGCGGGAGTGGCCCGGTTGTGCAATGGAAACGCACTCGCCTTTCACCAAAGCGTCCGGGATAATGATTCGAAACCGGATTACGGACATGATAAAGTATGATGGTCACCTACCCGACCACGTTGGTTTTCCCTGGGTATTCCGATTACCTCCCACAGTAAGACCCTTGTGACAACCCTATATCACACTGTCTGCCACGTCTTTGAGGAACATGTTTCATATGGACCGTAAACAAATTCAGTTCGTTTTTTACTGTATGTCATTACCTTATCAAGTTTTACTTGTTATAACACTTGCTAAAAAACATACGAAATGTCTACAATTATGTATCAAACAGCCGTAGACGGGGCGTGGGGCGAGTGGACGGCCTGGTCTTCGTGTTTTGGTACATGTGGTAAAGGTCTTCAGACCCGAGGTCATGTCTGTGATAGTCCAGCACCACAGCATGGAGGTGAAATATGCCATGGAAATCATATGGAGACCAGGACTTGCATTCACGATATAGACTGTACAAGTAAGTCTAGCAATGGTGCTTTCTTAAGTAGTGATTCAGTATCACGGAACCTATTAAGTTATATCAAATGATGTAAAGTCTTTACGAGGTTACTTAAACCAACACTTTACGAACTAACCAAACCATAACGGAAAAAAATCATAAGATTCTACTGTCATATTTAAACATCAGTATCCCTGTTTAATAATCTTTGATGTTTTACGCAGATTCAACAGTGCATCAATGCGACAAGCTGTCTGTTCTGCACGCGCTGGCGGAAATTGACACTACTTCGAAGGTTATGTGTTTAGATAATTGGACGACAGAGACCGAAGGATTCCTGATGGAAAACTGTAATGCTCCGCACGATACAACAAACTGGCATACAGGAACTCAGGTACATGTTGCAAAGTATACTTGTTAAATGCTGTTTCAAAATTTGTATTCCAAAACTAATTTAAGTTGTGTAAAAAGTTCGCATACGGATTACGGAAGATTCTGGAGATAAGAAACTAACTTTGCAATTTGTTGAAATCATTCGTAACCGTAAAAACATAATTTCTTCACTGAATAATTGGATAAATTGCATTTTCTTAAGTATTACAAATATCTAAAAGCAGTTTAGATATCTATATTGTTAAGGAATCAAATCACTCTAAGAAATATTGATAAACAAGTAAGCAATATTTGAAGCAAAATAGATAAAAAAATCAAACATATAAGCAAAACAAAAAAAAAATTAATAAACAAATATATAAAGACATGACTATCTATAGGTATTAAAAGCCTGCCAGAACATGTCAAGTCACGCTTACCTACCCGTCGGTACCTTTGAAGAGTTTCATTATGGACACCATAATGTTTCTGGATTCTCCGGGATATTTGTTGGATGTAACGATCAACACACAGGGTTCAAGGTGAGAGGTATATTTGTAATTAAGGTTTTAAAATGGCCTGGAGGCCAACAGTTTGGAAATTCAAATTTTGTAGTTGTGAAAACTTTAGAATATTACATTTAAGTACAAATTATTTCAAAGTAATGTTGCAGCGCTCTTTCCACTATAGGTGTCTAAATGATTGGAATAGGAATTATTCATTTGATAACAAACAGGTAAAATGATAACTAATGATTTGAGTTGACCAGTTTAGATATGCAAAGTAACCACAGAAATAAAAAGAATGATGCTTTATTTAACAATGTTATAAGATTTAGATATTAATTTTTTTACGATAATGCAGATATGTAAACGGAATTTTTTATTTAATTAAAATGATTTATTTATTTGTTATTTGTCAGATATCCAAAGTTCACGAAACAACCTGATACATTTATGTTTTGCTCTAAAATCAAGGAAGGTTGTTTTAGTCAGGAATCACGTATTAGAAATATGTAACTTGTGGCGAGAGTTTATTCAAAAAATTTGTTTAAATCAAACTAGACTTGCAGTGTTATAATCGAGAAATTAACAAAACGCTCAAATTGTTATTAACGGTATCACGCCATCATATCTACCCTGTCACAAACTGCAGTCCTCAAGTAAAAAAAAACATTATATTTAACGCCCTAATGAAGATTATAAGTACAATAACATATAAAAGTATGAAAACAAGATGTTACGCTTGATTTCTTTTCTCGTTGAATTCTGTTATACTCTCAGTCAAACTTGACAATCGATCATCCGTAACGGGTATTTTTCCTGAGTTTGAACAAAAAAAAAAAAAAATAATTAATTAATGAATTAACGATAAAAATATATTGGAAGTTTTGAGACAAAACGAACATTTACAAATACTAGAAATAAAACAAATTCTGAGAAAGGCTTCAGTACTTGAAAAACGCTTGCAGAGCGACACGATGTGACAAAACCAGATACAACACTAGGTCACCACGCATGCACGTTAATGTTGCACTACACCAAGTAATCAAATAGAAATAGAATCGTCACTTCAACGAAAACTAAGATTTTATTTTTCGGCTTGTCCAAAAACAATTATCCTCCTCTTATCGTACCGTTAAACGTGGATTGTATAGGCTTGTATAGATTGCATTACGCAGTTACCGTTACTTCCTATCGGTCACGTGACCTAGAAATTTAACAGCATTGACACTGCTCAGAAATGTTCACTAGCGCAACATTTTCCCGTATATCACAGAACTTGATTATCATTTGCATTACATAAAATGATGAATAGTCATATGTGTTATGGTTATGATATGGCTAGGCGGATGATCATGCTATAAGACAGTACGAGTTGTCTCCCTTCATAGTGAGTTTTCCGAATTTTATTGTTTCCGGATTATTTCTGTGACCGGTTTTGTAACTGTTTTTAACGAGAGAATAAAATGGATGAACAGAGCTGGAACGTGTTATCCTCGATCAGCCAAGTCTGAGTATAATTCCCCAAACCAACACCGTTGCCACGCTACATATGTTTGAGCAGTTGTAACTCGCTGTAGATAAGTTATATTTCATATCATAATCAGACATATTTCCAGTAAGGGCACATCTTTCACACAATAAACACATAACCTAATAACTAAAAAATTATAACAGCTCTCACATATCACTGTTCATTATTTTGAACGCACGACTAAGTCAAGTATGCACCGGCACAATTTTCAGAGTAGTATTAATACGACTTACAAATTTCGGAACGTTTCACTGTTTTTGGTGTAATCCATAGCAAAAATAACCTTTGGACACGTGGCGACACATGTTTACTTCCACAATCTAATGATGGCCAAAAACCATAACAGATACAAATATAGTTCCAACTATAAAAAGACAGTGAGAATTAGAAAATGAAAAAGTTCAAAGACGATTACTATATGAAATGTCCGTTACAACTGAACGCTTTGCTTGTGTTTTAACATATCATATTTGTTTCTGTGTTTACCACTTCCGCCCTCCTACAACCATACCTCTACTGGAATAATACCAAACGACCCGTCTGTGTACCACTTTATCAAATGGTTCTAAACATAACCAATTTATGATAAAAGTCGGTACCTGGATTACATAGGTTTAGCAGTCTTAGGATTTCTATCACTGTCTCGTCTTTAGCAGTCGGTACCTTATTACATAGGATTTCTATCACTGTCTCGTCTTTAGCAGCTATGACGGTACCTGATTACATAGGATTTCTATCATTGTCTCGTCTTTAGCAGTCGGTACCTTATTACATAGGATTTCTATCACTGTCTCGTCTTTAGCAGTCGGTACCTTATTACATAGAATTTTACATAGGTACCTTATTCATAGGATTTATCACTGTCTCGTCTTTAGCAGTCGGTACCTTATTACATAGGATTTCTATCACTGTCTCGTCTTTAGCAGTCGGTACCTTATTACATAGGATTTCTATCACTGTCTCGTCTTTAGCAGTCGGTACCTTATTACATAGGATTTCTATCACTGTCTCGTCTTTAGCAGTCGGTACCTTATTACATAGAATTTCTATCACTGTCTCGTCTTTAGCAGTCGGTACCTTATTACATAGGATTTCTATCACTGTCTCGTCTTTAGCAGTCGGTACCTTATTACATAGGATTTCTATCATTGTCTCGTCTTTAGCAGTCGGTACCTGATTACATAGGATTTCTATCACTGTCTCGTCTTTAGCAGTCGGTACCTTATTACATAGGATTTCTATCACTGTCTCGTCTTTAGCAGTCGGTACCTTATTACATAGGATTTCTATCACTGTCTCGTCTTTAGCAGTCGGTACCTTATTACATAGGATTTCTATCACTGTCTCGTCTTTAGCAGTCGGTACCTTATTACATAGGATTTCTATCACTGTCTCGTCTTTAGCAGTCGGTACCTGATTACATAGGATTTCTATCACTGTCTCGTCTTTAGCAGTCGGTACCTTATTACATAGGATTTCTATCACTGTCTCGTCTTTAGCAGTCGGTACCTTATTACATAGGATTTCTATCACTGTCTCGTCTTTAGCAGTCGGTACCTTATTACATAGGATTTCTATCACTGTCTCGTCTTTAGCAGTCGGTACCTTATTACATAGGATTTCTATCACTGTCTCGTCTTTAGCAGTCGGTACCTTATTACATAGGATTTCTATCACTGTCTCGTCTTTAGCAGTCGGTACCTTATTACATAGGATTTCTATCACTGTCTCGTCTTTAGCAGTCGGTACCTTATTACATAGGATTTCTATCACTGTCTCGTCTTTAGCAGTCGGTACCTTATTACATAGGATTTCTATCACTGTCTCGTCTTTAGCAGTCGGTACCTTATTACATAGGATTTCTATCACTGTCTCGTCTTTAGCAGTCGGTACCTTATTACATAGGATTTCTATCACTGTCTCGTCTTTAGCAGTCGGTACCTTATTACATAGGATTTCTATCACTGTCTCGTCTTTAGCAGTCGGTACCTTATTACATAGGATTTCTATCACTGTCTCGTCTTTAGCAGTCGGTACCTTATTACATAGGATTTCTATCACTGTCTCGTCTTTAGCAGTCGGTACCTTATTACATAGGATTTCTATCACTGTCTCGTCTTTAGCAGCTATGACGGTACCTGATTACATAGAATTTCTATCACTGTCTCGTCTTTAGCAGTCGGTACCTTATTACATAGGATTTCTATCACTGTCTCGTCTTTAGCAGTCGGTACCTTATTACATAGGATTTCTATCACTGTCTCGTCTTTAGCAGTCGGTACCTTATTACATAGGATTTCTATCATTGTCTCGTCTTTAGCAGCTATGACGGTACCTTATTACATAGGATTTCTATCACTGTCTCGTCTTTAGCAGTCGGTACCTATCATTAGCATAGGTATTTACTATCATCTGTCTCGTCTTTAGCAGACGGTACCGGTACCCTTATTACATAGGATTTCTATCACTGTCTCGTCTTTAGCAGTCGGTACCTTATTACATAGGATTTCTATCACTGTCTCGTCTTTAGCAGTCGGTACCTGATTACACAGGATTTCTATCATTGTCTCGTCTTTAGCAGTCGGTACCTTATTACATAGAATTTCTATCACTGTCTCGTCTTTAGCAGCTATGACGGTACCTGATTACATAGGATTTCTATCACTGTCTCGTCTTTAGCAGTCGGTACCTTATTACATAGAATTTCTATCACTGTCTCGTCTTTAGCAGTCGGTACCTTATTACATAGGATTTCTATCACTGTCTCGTCTTTAGCAGTCGGTACCTTATTACATAGGATTTCTATCACTGTCTCGTCTTTAGATTTCTATCACTGTCTCGTCTTTAGCGGTACTGTCTCGTATTACATTACATAGGATTTCTATCACTGTCTCGTCTTTAGCAGTCTGATTTATTTCTATCACTGTCTCGTCTTTAGCAGTCGGTACCTTATTACATAGGATTTCTATCATTGTCTGTCTCGTCTTTAGCAGCACTGTATCGTCGGTACCTTATTACATAGGATTTCTATCACTGTCTCGTCTTTAGCAGCTATGACGGTACCTGATTACATAGGATTTCTATCACTGTCTCGTCTTTAGCAGTCGGTACCTTATTACATAGGATTTCTATCATTGTCTCGTCTTTAGCAGCTATGACGGTACCTGATTACATAGGATTTCTATCATTGTCTCGTCTTTAGCAGTCGGTACCTTATTACATAGGATTTCTATCACTGTCTCGTCTTTAGCAGCTATGACGGTACCTGATTACATAGAATTTCTATCATTGTCTCGTCTTTAGCAGCTATGACGGTACCTGATTACATAGAATTTCTATCACTGTCTCGTCTTTAGCAGTCGGTACCTTATTACATAGGATTTCTATCACTGTCTCGTCTTTAGACCCTGGAATTACGATTTTTGAATTTTGTATATCAGTTAAAGTCTACGTCACTTCCATGCGGGTTACTTAATGTAACAGCAATAGTTGGATTACTATTACTCAACATGTCTGGAACTCTTTTGTGTCTAAATTTACGACAACGACCTAGAAACAACAGGTTGTTTTCAGTTACAGTAACCTTCTAAAATTAGTTACGAAAAGGGAAAAGATATACACTAAGGCACCTAGTAATATGTTATCAATTTGCTTTCACCGTAACTTATCAATACATTGACATTTTAACTCCGTAACTGATTATGACATTGTTATGTTAAAGCAGTAACTAGTTACGACATTGATGTTTTAACTCCGTAACTAGTTACGACATTGATGTGTTAACTCCGTAACTAGTTATGACATTGATATGTTAACTCCGTAACTAATTACGACACTGATGTGTTAACTCCGTAACTAATTACGACACTGATATGTTAACGCCATAACTTATTACGACACTGATATGTTAACTCCGTAACTTATTACGACACTGATATGTTAACGCCATAACTTATTACGACACTGATATGTTAACGCCATAACTTATTACGACACTGATATGTTAACGCCATAACTAATTACGACACTGATATGTTAACGCCATAACTTATTACGACACTGATATGTTAACGCCATAACTTATTACGACACTGATATGTTAACGCCATAACTTATTACGACACTGATATGTTAACGCCATAACTTATTACGACACTGATATGTTAACGCCATAACTTATTACGACACTGATATGTTAACGCCATAACTTATTACGACACTGATATGTTAACGCCATAACTTATTACGACACTGATATGTTAACGCCATAACTTATTACGACACTGATATGTTAACGCCATAACTTATTACGACACTGATATGTTAACGCCATAACTTATTAACGACACTGATATGTTAACGCCATAACTTATTACGACACTGATATGTTAACGCCATAACTTATTACGACACTGATATGTTAACGCCATAACTTATTACGACACTGATATGTTAACGCCATAACTTATTACGACACTGATATGTTAACGCCATAACTTATTACGACACTGATATGTTAACGCCATAACTTATTACGACACTGATATGTTAACGCCATAACTTATTACGACACTGATATGTTAACGCAATAACTTATTACGACACTGATATGTTAACGCCATAACTTATTACGACACTGATATGTTAACGCCATAACTTATTACGACACTGATATGTTAACGCCATAACTTATTACGACACTGATATGTTAACGCCATAACTTATTACGACACTGATGTGTTAACGCCATAACTTATTACGACACTGATATGTTAACGCCATAACTTATTTTTACACTGATATGTTAACGCCATAACTTATTACGACACTGATATGTTAACGCCATAACTTATTACGACACTGATATGTTAACGCCATAACTTATTACGACACTGATATGTTAACGCCATAACTTATTACGACACTGATATGTTAACGCCATAACTTATTACGACACTGATATGTTAACGCCATAACTTATTACGACACTGATATGTTAACGCAATAACTTATTACGACACTGATATGTTAACGCCATAACTTATTACGACACTGATATGTTAACGCCATAACTTATTACGACACTGATGTGTTAACTCCGTAACTAATTACGACACTGATATGTTAACGCCATAACTTATTACGACACTGATATGTTAACGCCATAACTTATTACGACACTGATGTGTTAACTCCGTAACTAATTACGACACTGATATGTTAACGCCATAACTTATTACGACACTGATATGTTAACGCCATAACTTATTACGACACTGATGTGTTAACTCCGTAACTAATTACGACACTGATGTGTTAACTCCGTAACTAATTACGACACTGATGTGTTAACTCCGTAACTAATTACGACACTGATGTGTTAACTCCGTAACTAATTACGACACTGATGTGTTAACTCCGTAACTAATTACGACACTGATGTGTTAACTCCGTAACTAATTACGACACTGATGTGTTAACTCCGTAACTAATTACGACACTGATATGTTAACGTCGTAACTATTTAGCAGATTTTACATTTTAATAATGTAACTAGTGAAGACTTTAATATGTTATACTTTGGTAACTTATTGTTACATGTTTAAGTTACCAAGGTAGCTGATTATGGTATTGATATGTGACCAGGGTAGCTGATTATGGTGTTGATATGTTACCAGGGTAACAAAGCAAGTCATTGTTATCGCAGTAAATGTTTAACACCATGACGTGTTACTTTGTAGAGCTATTGTCATGTTTGGAAACTTTCCATTATAACACCTGTCGCAGCACAAACATCTTATCACTATGAATACAAATTAACACAGCCATAAATTGCACACCATGACATTGTTGCTACCTATCACAGTGTTACATGACATCAAATTACAAATTGTAACGCCCTAGCTTTCGGAGTTAAGTATACATCACAACTTAAGAAAACATAGGAATATCCTTGGTTTTCATCAGCCGTATTCACGTCAATACAACAGCCCAAAATATAGCATTTATCATACTTGTACTATTAATGTAAGTCACGTGTACTTTGTTATATTTTTTAAGGTCGGACTTATAATTAATATGATAAAAACACGATTTAAAGTCTACATGTCCGTGTGGGTGTAGTTAGTGTAGTTACGCCTTTCGGTTGGTCAAGCTATGTCCGGTAAGTAAGTAAGATCAATTGTTAATCACCCTTCATAAATCAACTACGCGCATGCCTGTATGCTTACACGTGGACATTGCCATCATACCTCTCTCGCAAAAACACCCATGACGCCGTCTTTTGTCACGTACGAATAACTATCCTCGCCAGGAAAACGGTCTTGTTTAGGTAATATCAACTGGGTCTTGTTAGCTTAATTAGATATTATCTTTCCTGTTGTGTTATTCAACCTAGTATTTTTATGTTAGATTGGAACATATTTTTCAAAGTTAGCGTTTTATACATATTTATTACACATCGATTTATATATATATATATATATTAAAACGAATTAAGAATTATTTCAAAAAGAATTCAGTTCTTTTAACCCATAATGTGATAATCTACAATCTCTTTAGTATCAAAATGGACTTCGTAGAATAAAGCTTAACCAATTCTCTCATAACAAATAGATAACATCGGTAAATATCGTTATACAGAAATCGGTCCGGTCCGATATAGAGAACTGTAAGTAAATCATTTTACCATCAGTAAGATGACCATTCATGGAAATCCTTAGTTTTGGTGTCAATTTCGACGCACACGACATTGGTCAGTTATTGACCACTGGTCTTGACATCGATGAGTGATGATTCATTGCTGACCGATACACATGGACGAATAAATACACAAGATCAATATAGCAACACGACAAACCACAAGGACAGATATATCAATGACCTTTTACATTCCGAGAGTCTGTCTGTCCAACATGTCAGATCTTTTATCAACAAAAATATGTTCTCTTCTCAAATTATTATTCGAAATCGCAAAAAGAATGCACTTTTAAATGTGATAAGTGGCAATCGAGAATTTCTGAACAAATTAAAATGGGATTCCGTATTCAAGCATTTAAGTCCCAATGGATCTGCATACGTAACATATTTATTAAAATGAAGCTTAACTTAAAAGAAGAGAGAAAAACAAAAACTAAAAATCAAACAAAACATGATAAATAAATATAAATAAATAAATAGTATTACTACGAATACTACGTCTGCTATGTCGGCCTTTACATTCATGTGCGTTCATTGTCCTCGTTTCATCGAAATTGTGTATGGATTGAGACTAGTAGGCATTTTTTTTTTTTACTTATAGAAGTGGAAATCCGATATCGTTAAAAAGATAGAGAAATCTAAGGTATATTAGGCAATAATGCCGATACAATTTATTACATGTGATATGTCAATGATAAAACCAGGAGTCAAATACTTATCAATATACAAGATTAACGGAACATTCTTCTCTTTTCACACGATAACAAAACGGTTTTCCGGTATCAGAATTTCCTTTTTGTGTATCGACGAAGTTTCTAATAGTTTTATAGTTTTTAAAACAATGTTGAAAATTTGCTGTCTTACACGTCGTGAAGAGGTCGAGTGTAAGATTGAGGTAACCTGTGTATAACATTACTGGAAGAGAAAGACGGAACGGCCGTGTGATGTAGTTTACTACAGTAACTCATTATTTGTCTCTAGTGTCCTATATCAAATGTTTGTATGTTGGTATTTTCGTGTCGTCTTTTGCACTCACTGTGCTATTCACGAGCGTGTCTAACGTTACACTTTGGGGTGTGCGTAGTATTGCTAAACAGATTGTTATTTCATTCAATATGAATTCTATTCCATATTCCGTCAATATTTGTCAGAAACATTGTGTTTTATATAGGTTTATAATTTGATGGCGTGGTGTAGATGTTAAATGGCGACATATTTAACAGTGTTGATAGTGTGAAAAGAAATCTTTTAACCAGATTAGTGTTTTACGTTAGTTTTGCTTCGGATACAATCTAAAGTAAATTATCGGTGAAGTTGAAAAGATAATTGTCTTCAGAGAAAACGCTAAAGATGGTCATTTACATACCCGAATAAAAATAGAGGTCTGATGTCTTTTATTTTCGCCAGCGTTAAAATTCCCAAATCACGAAAATAAAAATTGCTTGTGTTTTGTCCTAAAGATAGCTAGTAATCACAGAATTTCCTAAAGATAGCTAGTAATCACAGTATTTCCTAAAGATAGCTAGTAATCATAGATTTTCCTAAAGATAGCTAGTAATCACAGAATTTCCTGAAGATAGCTAGTAATCACAGGTTCTACTAAAGATAGCTAGTAATCACAGGTTTTCCTAAAGATAGCTAGTAATCACAGGTTTTCCTAAAGATAGCTAGTAATCACAGGTTTTCCTAAAGATAGCTAGTAATCACAGGCTTTCCTAAAGATAGCTAGTAATCACAGTATTTCCTAAAGATAGCTAGTAATCACAGAATTTCCTAAAGATAGCTAGTAATCACAGTATTTCCTAAAGATAGCTAGTAATCATAGATTTTCCTAAAGATAGCTAGTAATCACAGAATTTCCTGAAGATAGCTAGTAATCACAGGTTCTACTAAAGATAGCTAGTAATCACAGGTTTTCCTAAAGATAGCTAGTAATCACAGGTTTTCCTAAAGAGAGCTAGTAATCACAGGCTTTCCTAAAGATAGCTAGTAATCACAGAATTTCCTAAAGATAGCTAGTAATCACAGGCTTTCCTAAAGATAGCTAGTAATCACAGGCTTTCCTAAAGATAGCTAGTAATCACAGGCTTTCCTAAAGATAGCTAGTAATCACAGGCTTTCCTAAAGATAGCTAGTAATCACAGAATTTCCTAAAGATAGCTAGTAATCACAGGCTTTCCTAAAGATAGCTAGTAATCACAGGCTTTCCTAAAGATAGCTAGTAATCACAGGCTTTCCTAAAGATAGCTAGTAATCACAGGCTTTCCTAAAGATAGCTAGTAATCACAGAATTTCCTAAAGATAGCTAGTAATCACAGAATTTCCTAAAGATAGCTAGTAATCACAGGCTTTCCTAAAGATAGCTAGTAATCACAGGCTTTCCTAAAGATAGCTAGTAATCACAGGCTTTCCTAAAGATAGCTAGTAATCACAGGCTTTCCTAAAGATAGCTAGTAATCACAGGCTTTCCTAAAGATAGCTAGTAATCACAGGCTTTCCTAAAGATAGCTAGAAATCACAGAATTTCCTAAAGATAGCTAGTAATCACAGAATTTACTAAAGATAGCTAGTAATCATAGAATTTACTAAAGATAGCTAGTAATCACAGGCTTTCCTAAAGATAGCTAGAAATCACAGAATTTCCTAAAGATAGCTAGTAATCATAGAATTTACTAAAGATAGCTAGTAATCACAGTATTTCCTAAAGATAGCTAGTAATCACAGGTTCTACTAAAGATAGCTAGTAATCACAGAATTTCCTAAAATGTCATACCTCAATTTGTGAATGAGGTTTTTATGTCACACATAGTAGAACGACATCAAACATCGGACATCAATAAGGTGGCATCCCCATGGTTTTCCAGTGAAGTATATTATGATAACGAAGTGATGTACAATGGGTATCTCGGTGTTTTGCATGGTTTGGTAAGAATCTTTACTGTTATTTATCGCATATACCTGGCTTTAAAGTAAAAGAACGACAGGATAATGAACGCTAACGAGACATGTTCTATTTTTTCAGTTCTCTAATGACAGATTTGCAACACCTATTATATATATCAGGCACCTCAACCTGATACTTTAGCATCGCTTTTTTCAGAAGATAATAATTTCCATTTATTAAAAATTTCGTCGGTCTATTATTTTTTTCTAATTGTCACAGTAAAACCATGTTCCTAATTTATATGTATGACAGGTATTGTCTCTAACGTCCGATAGGCTGTGACGTAGCAATAAACATATATAGACATATTGTCACAGAAAATACATACTTTGGGTAATGACGTATTTATAAGTAGCACTAACAATGATTGGCTGACAGGGTTTTTTTCTGTAGTAATTAATGCAGTATATATGTTTATAAGTCAGCACTCTTCACCTTACGACCATAACAGTTGTAGTACACGAACGAACACGACAATGTCATCTCCTGGTCAGGAATAACATACGGCTATCATTATTGTGTGAAAACCTAGGTGTTACTACTCGCCACCATTCACTGTGCCATACACGTTAGTTTTCATACTTGATCTGTCGAAACTGGACGTGATATTGTCTATTGGAAAACAGCAAGTCGAAAGGGAAATTTCACCTAGACTCATACTTTAAAAAAAATTATCTAATTTTAAATTCTCAAGAAATAGGAACGTTAAACTCTCGCGAAAACCAAAATGAAGACAGATATCTCGCTGTTAAGTTTGGGGTTGTTAACATTGGTCAGTTTGGTGTCTTCGTTGTCCATACCTCTGACAAATGTTCTGACAAAGAAGCCACACACGAGTTGTATAAGGAGCTGTCGGGAAGTAGTAACCAGGCATGGAATTGACGATTACACTTGTGGATTCTCGTGCTTGAAAATCCGCGGGAAAGTGTTGAAGAAACGAAACAAGCGGGACACTAGATCATCCAAGGTAAGATCATGTACACACTTATATACTTTATATTTTTCAATTAATAGCACGCTTGTCGTTCTTATATTGAAGATGATGGAATCTAGAGAATGGTGCTTTTGACCATTTTTTGACCTATTTGGTTTATCTTTGATGTTTCTAAGGTTTCAACAATTTCCGCTTAGAATAAACCCACGAGTGTCAGACGGTATGGTGCCGATTGATTCCTTGTTGGGCTCTACTGTATATAATTATTTCTAATTATAGTACAATGTATTCACAACTGTTTTGTATAATTGTTAATTGCCTAGTTAAATCAGTAGGAGTTACCTGTTTTAACACTAAATTATTGAGATCTCGAAGTCACACCTCGTCTCAATGCGACCGGAAAAACAAATTTCACGAGGTTCAAATACCGCAGATGTGGACAATAGCGAAAGTTAAGCAATAGGTAGACATCAGCATCCCATGTGAGAGCTGATGGTACCAAAGATATATAAATCAGTTTCATGAGATAGAGCAGATGTTTACTTCTAAATAAAAAACATCGACAACAACGATCAAAACATGCCTTTGGTTGATAGAGTGCGGATGCAAAAAGAGCCATGTTTCATCTTGCGTGTGCAAAGCATAAAAACTATTTCCATATATGCTCCAACATTTCGACCAACATCTTAAAGACAAGGAAACCAATGCTTTGATCTAGGTACTTCGATTTAATTGAACCGGAACATCACACGTAAATACGCCAACCATTAAGAATTTCTAAGACTGAGGGGATAGCGTTCCGAAACATAATAGAAGCGGAAATCGGTGCTGACCGTTGAATGAATGAAATTTCTTCAATATTATTTTGTTTCGTATTTTTATTGTTATAGATAAGAAAATCACGTGATCTTCAAAGAGCGTTCACGGTCTCTACGCGTAACTCTAAATTTAACAGTACATTCCAACTATTCAGCACAGTAGCAATTAATACGAATGCAGTGAAACACAATTTGAAGTAATCCAGCAATCAGATTGTCCCATAAAACATTGTACTAGATCTGGTGTTAGGTATAGGTCTAAAACTTCGTGATCGTCATAAAACATTGTACTAGATCTGGTGTTAGGTAAGGTCTAAAACTTCGTGATCGTCATAAAACATTGTACTAGATCTGTTGTAAGGTAAGGTCTAAAACTTCGTGATCGTCATAAAACATTGTACTAGATCTGTTGTAAGGTAAGGTCTAAAACTTCGTGATCGTCTAGATCTGTTGTAAGGTAAGGTCTAAAACTTCGTGATCGTCATAAAACATTGTACAAGATCTGGTGTAAGGTAAGGTCTAAAACTTCGTGATCGTCATAAAACATTGTACTAGATCTGGTGTTAGGTAAGGGCTAAAACTTCGTGATCGTCATAAAACATTGTACTAGATCTGGTGTTAGGTAAGGTCTAAAACTTCGTGATCGTCATAAAACATTGTACTAGATCTGTTGTAAGGTAAGGTCTAAAACTTCGTGATCGTCATAAAACATTGTACTAGATCTGGTGTAAGGTAAGGTCTAAAACTTCGTGATCGTCATAAAACATTGTACTAGATCTGGTGTTAGGTAAGGTCTAAAACTTCGTGATCGTCATAAAACATTGTACAAGATCTGGTGTTAGGTAAGGTCTAAAACTTCGTGATCGTCATAAAACATTGTACTAGATCTGGTGTTAGGTATAGGTCTAAAACTTCGTGATCGTCATAAAACATTGTACTAGATCTGGTGTTAGGTAAGGTCTAAAACTTCGTGATCGTCATAAAACATTGTACTAGATCTGGTGTTAGGTATAGGTCTAAAACTTCGTGATCGTCATAAAACATTGTACTAGATCTGGTGTTAGGTAAGGTCTAAAACTTCGTGATCGTCATAAAACATTGTACTAGATCTGGTGTAAGGTAAGGTCTAAAACTTCGTGATCGTCATAAAACATTGTACTAGATCTGGTGTTAGGTAAGGTCTAAAACTTCGTGATCGTCATAAAACATTGTACTAGATCTGGTGTTAGGTAAGGTCTAAAACTTCGTGATCGTCATGATCTCAACATAACGGATAGCGAAAAAAATGAAAGTCAACAGGTGTGTGCGGCACGATTTATTTGTTGGTTAGAACTTATCAGAGTACCGTCTTTCATGGATGTTATGTTTGCCGGGAAATAATTAAACGAAATTAGATAATTTAAGCACACTATCAATATCCTTTAATAGATAGTTTATAAGTATCGAGCATTTAAGTTGATCAGAAAATGAAACGTAGCCTTGAATTTTCATTTTCATATAAAGAAATCCTTAGACCGATTTACCGTCACTGCAGGCTCGTGACGTATTTGATTAAGGTGACGTCACATCCATCGTCATTTTGATTGACAGGTGTATGCACCGCCTGTCGTGAAATTGGCATTAGCCGGACATAGTAATTGTCACGCTAATGTATTTAATCAGAAAATAACAGCGTGTACACGTCAGGTCTAGTGATCTTGATAGCGAGTGATCTATGGTGTACATGCGGACAATGATGTTCGTTACCAATTTGTGGGCGAAACTGCTTCAGAACCATCACGATCATATCCCTAATAAAAATCGCGGACTTTATCCTTATCTATAATATTCATGACTGTATAACTAATTATATGGTAATGTAAATACATAATATATTGACCATAAAAATGATAAACAAACACAAATACTTTTTTATGTTCCTGTCACCTGTACAGGTATGTCCAGTTCCGATTTTTGTAATCGACTTTCCTTTCTAATTTTTTTTATTCTTAAAATTCTTGATCATGATTTTAATCTTTTGTAATTTTCACATAAATAAGGACATCACACGACTTGACGAAATTAAATTATGATTTCAGCTCGATAAATGTTTAATACAGTCAGAATTTTTTTTCAGAATAACTACATACATATTACACCTATCCCTAAAAAGTTCAAATTTTACGACATCAACGACGACAAGGGAATCAGCCTTCCAGAATTTGCACGAAGTTTAGGTCATGACCCCAAAACGTTTCACATCAGGACAGCTTTCAGCGAAGTGGACAAAGACAGTAAGTGATAAACTATCTCATTTCTTTAAAGAAGAGATTGAAGCTGAGACACAGATTTGTAAAGGTTTACTAGTGAGGTGAAAATCGTAATCCGTTTTTCTTTGTCGTAGAGTTTGAGGCTGAGATGTAGATTTGTAAAGGTTTACTAGTGAGGTGAAAATCGTAATCCGTTTTCCTTTGTCGTAGAGTTTGAGACTGAGATACAGATTTGTAAAGGTTTACTAGTAAGGTGAAAATCGTAATTAGCATTTCTTTATTCACCAGAAGAATTACGAATACGTGTAGTAGCAGTTCACTATATGTTACAGATAAATATGACCTTTCAACTTTACCAATGTAATCGATCATCAACCGTTTTCGTTTATTGATCAATTACTTCATCAGTTCTTATATCGAACAGTTATCAAAGTGAATATTTATGTATCTGTATTTCAAGGTGACGGAAAGATTGATATTATGGAGTTCCATGGCGATGTGCTCGTCTTTGATGGCGATGGGATGTTTGAAGACGATGGTGAGTAGACGCCAAAATAAAGTTATCAAAAACCAATCCTGATGGTTAAGATTTGATGGCACACGCCTCCCCCACTCCCAGCCTCTCCCCCCAAATGAAACTAAATAAATAAGAATAAAATAAATAAAAAAAAAACAAAAAAACAAAGGAACATAAACAAAATAAATAAAAAATAATAATAAGAATAGGATGGATATTGTGAAATACGTGAGTTATTAAACACAGAATATCGTTCATTTGATACATGTGTAATTGATAAAGAATGGAAACCAGGTATAGATACTGGAAAATACATTTCGACAGAAATACAGTTGTTTGTTCAGAATACCAGCGTATACAATGTTGGTGTTGTTAACATTGATAAAGACTAAGGATACAATTGGAATGTTTACTTAAATCATGTGTTTTATATAACATCATTAAATCTTAATTAAAATGACATTACCACATACTAAATTAAATATATATTTCATAAAATGAGACGATCAGATATGTTCAAATATAATACTTAGCACCTGTGACATTGAAAACGGACCCGCGTTGAAAAAAGGATCCCGTGTACTTTTTCACAAGTGGTCAATTTTCGACGTTACACCGGACAGTGAGATATATCAGAATATTGATAAATATGTCTGGGTCGACAAATGCACACTAGTACGTGTTCATTATATAATACACTTATCTGGACATTACAGCAATATCAAGCTGAAGTATCTAGTTTAAAAATTACCAGAAATACAACAAATCTTCATATTTTGTCTTGATTCGGTAATTGGCGGTGATGACAAGGTTTAGATTGAAAAAAAAAATAGTCATTGAAAAACTCGGATAAGGCGAAATGTCCATTTAGGTATGGGTCACGTGATATTCGCAGTATATTACATGATTTCGTTGGGATAAGGTGGTAATAACGTCAGACCATGTATGATAGTGTTGTATATCAGATCATGTATGATAGTGTTGTATATAATAGCGTCAGATCATGTGTGATAGTATTGTATATAATAGCGTCAGATCATGTGTGATAGTATTGTATATAATAGCGTCAGATCATGTATGATAGTATTGTATATAATAGCGTCAGATCATGTGTATATAATAGCGTCAGATCATGTATGATAGTATTGTATATCAGATCATGTGTGATAGTATTGTATATAATAACGTCAGATCATGTGTGATAGTATTGTATATAATAGCGTCAGATCATGTATGATAGTATTGTATATAATAGCGTCAGATCATGTATGATAGTATTGTATATAATAGCGTCAGATCATGTGTGATAGTATTGTATATAATAACGGCAGATCATGTGTGATAGTATTGTATATCAGATCATGTATGATAGTGTTGTATATCAGATCATGTGTGATAGTATTGTATATAATAACGTCAGATCATGTGTGATAGTATTGTATATCAGATCATGTGTGATAGTATTGTATATGTATATAATATGTGTCAGTCATTGTATATCAGATCAGTTTCATGATGTGTGTATATAAAATTCATGTGTCTGTATATATAATAACGTCAGATCATGTGTGATAGTATTGTATATAATAGCGTCAGATCATGTGTGATAGTATTGAAGGATGTATATAATATTGTCAGTCATTAGTTAACAAATCAGTTTCACGATATACGATATAAAATTCACGTTCTGTATATAAAACAAATGTCACGTCAAGGTCAGTGATTATTTCACTGTATACTACACAGTGTCACGTGAAAGTTAGTGACAGTAATGTCAGGTTTCACTGTATACTACACAGTGTCACGTGAAAGTTAGTGTCAGTAATGTCAGGTTTCACTGTATACTACACAGTGTCACGTGAAAGTTAGTGTCAGTAATGTCAGGTTTCACTGTATACTACACGGTGTCACGTGAAAGTTAGTGTCAGTAATGTCAGGTTTCACTGTATACTACACAGTGTCACGTGAAAGTTAGTGACACTATCAGGTTTAGGCCCGGTGTCAATCAAAGTCCTACAAAATGAACTGACAGTAATGTCAGGTTTCACTGCATATCACACACTATCATGTTTAGGTCCGGTGTCAACAATACCAAGTTTTACTGTGTGTTGCACAGTCACACAAAATGAAATGACAGTAATGTCAGATTTCACTGTATAGTATACAGTGTCACGTGAAAGTTAGTGACAGTAATGTCAGGTTTCACTGCATATCACACACTATCAGGTTTAGGTCCGGTGTCAACAATACCAAGTTTTACTGTGTGTTGCACAGTCACACAAAATGAAATGACAGTAATGTCAGATTTCACTGTATAGTATACAGTGTCACGTGAAAGTTAGTGACAGTAATGTCAGGTTTCACTGCATATCACACACTATCAGGTTTAGGTCCGGTGTCAACAATACCAAGTTTTACTGTGTGTTGCACAGTCACACAAAATGAAATGACAGTAATGTCAGATTTCACTGTATAGTATACAGTGTCACGTGAAAGTTAGTGACAGTAATGTCAGGTTTCACTGCATATCACACACTATCAGGTTTAGGTCCGGTGTCAACAATACCAAGTTTTACTGTTTGTTGCACAGTCACACAAAATGAAATGACAGTAATGTCAGATTTCACTGTATAGTATACAGTGTCACGTGAAAGTTAGTGACAGTAATGTCAGGTTTCACTGCATATCACACACTATCAGGTTTAGGTCCGGTGTCAACAATACCAAGTTTTACTGTTTGTTGCATAGTCACACAAAATGAAATGACAGTAATGTCAGGTATTTATTGGTACACGAACTATTGCTTCTACTCAGATAAGTTTCTATATGTTATCGATTTCATTAACATGTTTTTAGATATTCTCTATACAATATTGATAAAATACGTGATATCTATCGGCTTTATTGATATTTTAAATATTTTATCCGTTTTACAGATTACAACGTCGATGATTCTGTCATATCAAAGAGAGTGCAGTACGATGAAGATGACGGGTCCATGGGACGTGACGACGACAGCGATGATAGCAGCGACGACGATGACGATAAAGATGGCAAGAGTGACAGCAGTGATAGCGACAGTAGTGACAGTAGTGACAGTAGCGATAGTAGCGACAGCAGTGACAGTAGCGACAGTAGCGACAGTAGTGACGATTCCAGCAAAGACAGCGATGACAGCAGTGACGAAGATGACAACAAGTCAGGTCGGAGAGGAAAAGACGACAGAGACGATAGTAAAGATACGGACGATGGTGTCAACCTGCCAGAAATTCGCGTAAGAGATGAAAAGTTCGACGATACTGCTGATGACATATTGGATAATGTTCTGGATGGTATTGATATGGATGGTGACGGAGGGGTAGGAGGAATGATGGGAGGTACGTCTGACATGATTGACGATTCAGTCAATGATTTGGGTGATGGTATCAGCGACGTGGTTGAAAATGTTAACGACGCCTTAGGCGACGCTGTTGATACCATGACGGACGGGGCGGGGGATATGGTAGATAATATCAACGATGGAGTCGAAAATACTATAGAAGCTGTCAGTGACGTCACCGAAAACATAGCAGATGGTGTCAGCGACATGACCGGAAACATAGCAGATGGTATCAGCGACATGACCGGAAACATAGCAGATGGTGTCAGCGACATGGCCGGAAATGTTAGAGATGCAGTTAGTGACGTAGCAGAAAATGCGATAGACACCGTGAATGATGTCACAGGAAATGTTGTAGACACTGTCAGTGACGTAATGCCTGATAGTTCAGATGTAATGAACACCATAGTGGCCGCGAACTTGATCTCTGAGACAGCTCCGCCTTCTATAATCCCAAACACTCGTGTAAACCGACCACAGGCAACACTAGCCGGAGCTAACCGCCGACTTGATATCCCTCCCGCTCCGGTTCCGGCTATTGCTGCCCCAGCCGTACCCAGTCTTCCTAATTCCCCTGGAGTACCCTCAATGTGGGAAGATCCCGGTAAAGGATCTCAAGATTTTCAGCGAAACATTGCTAACGTCGTCTCTCGAAGTAATGGAGGACGGACATCAGTTGTCCAAACCGCACGAGACGACAGTATCCAATGGAGATTCTAATCACGTGACATCTGATAGTATTAAAAACAGCAATCGACATATTGAAAACTAACAACATGATAGTCATATTGAAGCAGTGATACATAAACGAAATAATCTCCAACAGGTCTGGCTACAAAACGACGTCAACAACTTATTTATCATTTGAAACTTACAATAATATTTAAAATGGTTTAATATTGCCGTCTGTCATTAAATCACACCCGTTCTGTGTTAGTAATTACGGTAGATATCCGTTAATTCACATAGGATATATTTAACCATATAATTAGTTAAGAAATTATAAACCAATACATTTATGTCATTTGATGTGTTGTTGTCGTCACTGTCGTTATATCGCCAATTCTTTTGGACGTTCGTACCTTTCTGATGACAATGAATCATACATGTAAATAGGGAGATAGACAATGTATATAGACATTTTATAACTTATTTCGTCTAACATCCTCATTATTGCAGGTTATCGTTTTATAACGTCTCTATCGCAGCACACTGTCGTATCTCGTTCTAGCCACATAATCGGAATGACTTTTTATCCTCTTGCTTTCAAGCTCGTCTTTTGTTCTGAAGAACTAAACTTTAGGATTATGTTTCATCAAATTGAGGAAGACAGACATCACGTGTTGTATGGACGTATTCTATAAATGTATCATTCTTACCAAAATAAATTCAAAAAGAAATTTTTATGTGTTGATCTTATACATTTTAATATCCATCTACGATGGTAGACGGATATCAGTAAACTCGGGGCTTTAGAATTTGCGACATCAGTTTCAGACGTCCAAGCACATTAAGACTTTCTTCCGTTTTCCTTCCTTTTATCTAATAACATTAAATAATAACAATACCAATCTTCTAGATAACAAGTATTTGATACTGCTGGTAGACTTACAAACCCCGCGGTTTGTCTGCATGCTACATTTTAAGGAATTCGAATTGTGGCACGGTACAGAATATGCAAATGCACTTGACGTATTTCTAAAAGTATCATACATGTGGAAATTAGGAAGTTAATTGAACAGTGGAGCTAAGGCACCTTCTCAATTAGGTTTTAGTCTTTCTCTTGATCAGTTCGAATTTTCCTCAGTCGTGTTATTCACGCGTGTGCCTTTTGTACCATATTAATGACAGCTTTTAATATAAAATTAGAGTTAGATACAGTAGCGCCAACTAATAAATCAAACTGCAGCATAAAGCTAGTTCGTTCTTCTGGGACTCGTCAGTGCAGCATAAAGCTAGTTCGTTCTTCTAGGACTCGTCAGTGCAGCATAAAGCTAGTTCGTTCTTCTGGGACTCGTCAGTGCAGCATAAAGCTAGTTCGTTCTTCTAGGACTCGTCAGTGCAGCATAAAGCTAGTTCGTTCTTCTGGGACTCGTCAGTGCAGCATAAAGCTAGTTCGTTCTTCTAGGACTCGTCAGTGCAGCATAAGGCTAGTTCGTTCTTCTAGGACTCGTCAGTGCAGCATAGGATTCCAAAACAGGAACTAAAACTGTTACATTGGAAACGGTAAAACAGTTCATATTTATGAATAAGTTTTGATCTTTGATCTTGTAAAACAGTACAGAAAGTTTTGCTATTAACGTCTGCGATGTGAACCTAATTAAATCAGTATGATCGATTTTGAATTGATTTAATCCAAATCCACTAAAACCGATTCTGTTCAGCCTAAAAAGATAAGCAAATATATAAATGTAACAAAGAAAATTCTCGGACAGGTACTCTAACAATTTCTGATATTTAACATAACATTGAAATAATACACCATTATGTTGTTTACTGTGCTACCACACTGCTGTATTGTCCTAGGGAGGCTCAGTTCCATAGTTTTTAAAACATTTCTTTTCATTGACACTTGATTTTGTGGTAAGTTAAATCTCAGTAATAAGTCTATTTCTACAAGTTTTAACAATTCGTGGACATTTGAATCCTTGGAATAACAGTATTCATGAAACGAACTAAAATTTAGATCCCACGAAAATTAATGATTTCACAGTAAGCAGTTTTTCTACTCTTTAAACGAAACCCGTATTACTTGCTTCAAGATCGAGTTGCCAGAGGTTAATCAATGGCAGACTTTTTATCTACTGAAACAGTTTTGGAAATTTACATTTACGTAGGTTTAATATGGTTTATCTTATCGTTATGATGTTCATGCCAGCGCCCTTCTCGTCGTTTTATATTGTAAAGTATTTAAATATACAGAATATTCGTTCTTGTGTAAGGCAAGGTAGATAACCCCCTTCATTATATATCTCAGACCAGGGCTCCTGAGTGTTGTTCCAATCTGGCTACGAAAACAAAATATTCAACACAGCAATTACTTAATACATTTATTGGAGAGATCGAAGGAGATGACGTCACTAAAAATGACAAACGGAGTACATTGCGTGAAGTTATCGTCGAGACAAATAATACAAAAAATAAAATAAATAAAAAGAGAAATAAAGTAAAACCTACAACGGACTGAAGATCGCACGATTCAGTTAAACATTTTCTAAAGTCAATGACAGACAGGCTAGGAGATGAGAGTTAGTAGTATCAACTACAATCTGTGTCAGTCACCTAGCTTCGCTCCTATACAAAACATCAATATACACTATCTAATAATGATCAGATTACACATCATTCATACATATACCATTTATCGGGATATTTTTGCGCCTTTTACAATTTTTGCAAAAATTCGAGTATTTCATTCTTTTGCGATTTCATCGTCTCAGAAATCGGAAATGCCTCTTTTGAAGTATTTGAATACTTCAGGCTGGACATACATATATTTACGTATTAACTAGAATTTATTTATTATACAGAAGTATTCATGGCTGCAGAGTGTCCTGGTATATATATAGATACATCAACCTTTATATATGTATTACTGATGGATGTAGATTGGGCGATGTTTAACATGGTCCCTAAATCGCCAATAAAAGAGATGTGTGCAAAAACTAACCCCGATATACACTATTACAACATTTGGCCGAGTTCCTGCTACGAAAACACACTCTACTACCTCTACATATTTTTGCGCAACTATATAGATTGTCTATAGCAACATTGCATCAAAATAATTTTTTAACATTTTTTTTTTCAAATCGACAAGATAAGAGGAATTGATGTACAAATGAAAATGTATAGCACTACTTTGCAGGTTAATCTGACCAGTTTTTCATTGCGATTGTCTTGTATTAGAAAGGTGGAAAATAGATACAAAGATATAAGCATTCGTGTTTGCTATAGATAGAAATATACCTTCCTTCTACATGTGTATTGATATATTAGACGCTGTCATACATGGCTGAGCATGACTGAAGTCAATATATCAATAACTAAAGTAAATAAGCTCCAAGCTGTTAACAAGAACCAGTTCTATCAGAGTTCCAAATGTCGGTAATCACGACAAAGCGTTGAAGCTATTTTCAAACATTAAACGTCATTAATTTTTATACAGTTTTTCATATTAGCATAAAAAAAATAAAAACAAATCGTGCAGCAGTTTTACGAAACGTTGATGTCGATACTGAATTAAAATACGTATGGTTGAAGATGAAGATAAAATACTTTCCACCAATATACGAAACAGATTAGTGATTGCAACCATATCTTTGAGGGTATGGGTAAAATCATTGATATGGTGGATGTGCGATAAAGCAAAAGATGCTGATCTTCCCGGAACACCTGGTCTTATTCTCCTGGTGCCCTTTTTTCAGTTTTCTCCGTGCAAATATTTTTTGTTTTTCATTTTTTGTTCTTTTTGGTTTTTTTTTTAATTTTTGTTTTTGTTCATAATTATGCGTTAATGTCATTTTTCATTTGTCGGTGTTTTCTTTTTTGTAAATAAATAATCGAACATGCGAAGATTAAAAATAGCTTTTTCCTGTAACATAATCTATGTGAGGGTGATTTGACTGTCTAATCTAAATATCAGGACAATGGTCTGCATTTTGCTAGACAGTCTGTAGTTTACTGCGTGGACGTCAACTGGAAACACTGATCAATGACTACATATAACAATAATAAGAATGAGTTATAAATGGGATATCTCCAATATGTTAGGCATAGTAGTGACACATGATTGAAGGATTGTTTAAGCAATGATTGACATCCAGATGTTGATAGTATGGAAGATTTACAGATGATAAAAATGTTTTACTAATTGCTTATGTTGTTCTAGACGTCATACAATTTAAAAACGATTCATTTTTTTGTGATATTTTATATTAACCCTCATTAAAAGCAAGACAATCTTTATTAGTCAAAGTTGTCATGGAGACTGATCCAAATATGGTATTCTGTCAATAATTTCCGTTTCTTTGTAATGCGACAAGACGCAACAAAATCAATATCAACCACATCTACTTGTAAAACATCTTCAACTATAGGTAAACAAACATAACTGTTACATACCTCTGTAGATCTCTCTCCATTTATCTTTATTTTATTATGTTTGTATTACCAGAGACGTAAAACGAGAGACAAAACACAAATATTACATCATACAAAACACAAATATTACAACATACAAAACACAAATATTACAACATACAAAACAAAAATATTACATCATACAAAACACAAATATTACAACATACAAAACACAAATATTACAACATACAAAACACAAATATTAATCATACAAAATACAAATATTACATCATACAAAACACAAATATTACATCATACAAAACACAAATATTACATCATACAAAACACAAATATTAGAACATACAAAACACAAATATTACAACATACAAAACACAAATATTACATCATACAAAACACAAATATTACATCATACAAAATACAAATATTACAACATACAAAACACAAATATTACATCATACAAAACACAAATATTACACAAATATTACAACATACAAAACACAAATATTACAACATACAAAACACAAATATTATAACATATTACATCATACAAAACACAAATATTATACAAAACACAAATAATACATCATACAAAACACAAATATTGTAACATACAAAAGACAAATATTATAACATACAAAACACAAATATTACAACATACAAAACACAAATATTACAACATACAAAACAAAAATATTACATCATACAAAACACAAATATTACAACATACAAAACACAAATATTACAACATACAAAACACAAATATTATAACATATTACAACCTACAAAACACAAATATTACATCATACAAAACTCAAATATTACATCATACAAACCACAACTATTACAACAAACTAAACACAATATTACAACAGATTAAACTCTTTACAACACAGACTATACAAACAGGTATTATATCGGACTAAACACAAGGATAACAATAAACCTAACAGAAGTATTACAATAAGATAACAAAATAGTGTACCATACGTAACATTGATTTAATAACAGACAAGACACTGTATATACAACAAATTTAACACAAGTATGATAAGAAAAACACGATAGTTAACCCTTCAAGCATTTTATGTATAACATATCTAGACGCTAGCCTTTACAGCTTCAGACCATTAATTTGTGTTACCATAAGAGAACTTTCTAAAAATGACCTCTTCCTAAAACTCTAAGTTGATATTTGACACAATATTTCCTTACTACTATCAATAGTAATCGAACGCATTATGATGATAACCAAACATCATCACCCTGTACCTCTTAGCTACTGAAACCATACAGGTCAAGGTCATTTATATCTTCAAACTTGATTGCCAATGACCAGAGCCTTCTTGTTTTTGACTAAAGTAGGCTGCAGGCAAAATTTCATCACCAGGTGCCTCTTGGATATTGCGAATATGTTATGTACAGATGTTGACATAATTGACCTCTGTCACCAGGAAATGAGACCAAGCTCATTAATATTAACACACTTGATGTTTTGAACCTCTCATATGAAAAATACTTTGCCTCTAGGCATCTTAGATTTTGGAAAGCTTTTTTAAAGTTTGTTTCAGAAATTTACAAATTTTTATCCTTGATCCATACCAGAAACCTGAAGTTGATATTTTACAAAAAAAAAAAAAAAAAAAAAACCCTGTTTCGTTAGAAATATTATTGATTTGGTATTTTACATCACATATCCAAAAGATGAATTCATTATGTTCAGCAATTAATGAGATATTGCAGGTAGAGTTTAAATTTGATATGACGTCATGGCGGCCATTTAGTTTTTCCGAAGAAGTTGAAAATGTCACATATAGGTAGAGGGTATCTAGGGAAATATTTCTAATTTCAATTGTGTGAAATATATGTAATTGATTTTGGTCTAAAGCAAGTTGTACCAATTTGTGAGTATTTTAAAAGATCAATGAAATGTTCAAAATGACGTCCGAAGTTAATGGCAAATGCTAAATAAAGACTGAATGAAGGAAATCCATCATAATGACACTACAAAAATGTAAAAGAAATTTTCCAAAAAATCTAAAAATGAAAAAAAAAAAAAAAAAAAAGTGACCTTTGATTCAATAGCGAGTTTTTTTACTTGACATATTTTGTATTTACGTGTATTGCATTATCTGCAAATAATATAATTGCACGAATTCTGTACAATCAACGATTTTCGGAGATATGACTAGTTTAATGTTTGATATATGACGTCATGGCAGCCATATTAGATTATTGAATTACTTAACAAAAGTGGCATGGACATTTTCCGATTGGTACCTAGATAATACAAAACAGATAATATACCTCTCACCAATCAAAAGATAAGGAGTTCACAAACTTCGGAATAAAAATAACAACAACAAAAATATAGCCAATTCCAACATCTTGCTCATTGTGCGTGTTTTGGGCAAAATTCAGCAAAATATAATAAATAACTGATTGACAATACGTGAATGCTGACTGGATGGAAACTTTTTCTTGAATTTTAGGACATACATTAAATATTTAAATATATATATATATTTATATACATATAAACTATTTGTGTGGATATTTAAAACGAAATAGCATATCGACCCGTTTTTTTTTTAAATATGAAAACTGTTTATAAACTTGTTATATCTAATAATAAATTCTAAGAATAACCATAATTCAAGAACGTTGTCAAATAAGTATCGTGGAGATTCACGGCTGTCAATTAAGAGTGAAAATTGCAGATTGGTTTTATTTATTATCTAGGTATCTCTTGCATTTAAACGAGAAAAGAAATTGGCTGGAAACAAAATCTGACCCGGTAAAATCAATCAAATCAAAAACATTTAAACAATGACAATATTTATATACACTACTATATATAGATACTATATAGTCACGTCATAATTAACTACAACATACACACATAAATATATATATATGTTTTAACTATTTTATGGTTGTCTAGCTGACCAGCTGTAACTGTCAAACTAAACAATCTTTTGAACAATTTAAAAAAAAAATTACGTCCACGTCAAAGCAAAACTATAAAGTACAACGATATACATTTGTTATCTACGTAGAATGATTTTTTTGTATGATACGGTATATTAATTTGTATGATACGGTACAATTGATTTGTATGATACGGTACAATTGCTTTGTATGATACGGTACAATTGATTTGTATGATACTGTACAATTAATTTGTATGATACGGTACAATTGATTTGTATGATACGGTACAATTGATTTGTATGATACGGTCAATTGCTTTGTATGATACGGTACAATTGATTTGTATGATACGGTACAATTAATTCGTATGATACGGTACAATTGATTGTTATGATACGGTTCAATTAATTCGTATGATACGGTACAATTAATTTGTATGATACGGTACAATTTATTTGTATGATACTGTACAATTAATTTGTATGATACGGTACAATTGATTTGTATGATACGGTACAATTGATTTGTATGATACGGTACAATTGCTTTGTATGATGCGGTTCAATTGATTTGTATGATACGGTACAATTTATTTGTATTATACGGTACAATTAATTTGCATGATACGGTAAAATTGTTTTGTATGAAACGGTACAATTAATTTGTATGCTACCGTACAATTGATTTGTATGAAACGGTACAATTAATTTGTATGATTCGGTACAATTGATTTCTATGATACGGTACAATTGATTTGTATGATACGGTACAATTGATACGGTACAATTGCTTTGTATGATACGGTACAGTTGCTTTGTATGATACGGTACAATTGCTTTGTATGATACGGTACAATTGCTTTGTATGATACGGTACAATTGATTTGTATGATACGGTACAATTGCTTTGTATGATACGGTACAATTGATTTGTATGATACGGTACAATTGATTTGTATGATACGGTACAATTGTTTTGTATGATACGTTATAATTGCTTTGTATGATACGGTACAATTGATTTGTATGATACGGTACAATTGTTTTGTATGATACGTTATAATTGCTTTGTATGATACGGTACAATTGATTTGTATGATATTGTACAATTAATTTGTATGATACGGTACAATTGATTTGTATGATACGGTACAATTGATTTGTATGATACGGTACAATTGCTTTGTATGATACGGTACAATTGATTTGTATGATACGGTACAATTAATTCGTATGATACGGTACAATTGATTGTTATGATACGGTTCAATTAATTCGTATGATACGGTACAATTAATTTGTATGATACGGTACAATTGATTTGTATGATACGGTACAATTAATTCGTATGATACGGTACAATTGATTGTTATGATACGGTTCAATTAATTCGTATGATACGGTACAATTGATTTGACTCTAATCTATCTGAATCCTTATTTGTATTAAACATGATATTACCTAGAAATCTTCATAGAGAAATCAACGGCATTGAAACGAAAATTTTTAAAAATGAAATTGAAATGAAAGGCCAAACCTTGTTGTTATGGATTTCATATACAATTACATCCAGTTACTGTCTGTGAAATGGTCTCGACATCGGATGTCACTTGTGTCACTGTTCTTAACAACGGAGTTTACAGCTTTCCTAGAAGATCCGTCGGTGGAGGCGGTCAAGCTATCAAAACTGGTCAAATATAACCTTTATCTTTATAGGATTGACTGTGTGGGGCATCGGCGTGCTCTTCAGAAACTGCGGTGGACTGGGCTGAAAATAACCAGGAATGCATAAAATGTGTTTATTAATTCAATGGTAGCTATAATTAAGATTTCACGATAAAGTGATATCATTAAGAGACGGGAGCTGACAGGTAAGGCGATATTTAAAGTCATAGAAACAGTATCCGTTTTGTTATCTGTAATATACCGAGAACATTGTCTACAATGTATATTATCCATTATTAAATCGTATACAATTTTGTTATATTTTTAAAAAAGTATTCGATATCAGTTTTTTTCTGGTCGAGGACTGTCATTCTGTAACATAACAGAACAACCGAGGCTAAACGAGAATGAGATCTTACAAAATGTCAGCCAGAAAATGAGATTAAAATCATTTTCTCGTATATTATTGATTAAAAATTGCATAAACCTTTCTAAACAAGTCACCGTTCAATACACTTGAATTTGATTATTTTATCACAATATGCTGTTATGTGTCAGAAAGCCAATTTATCATGACGTCATGTCATTGTGAAGTGACATGCCGAAAAATATCACGTTTAAGTAGACGGAAAAATCAAGCACTGGGTAGTGCGTAAAAGTGTTGTCTCGCGTACAAAAATAATAGAATCTTACATAGGTCTGTACCGTTATTAAGGATATATCATCCTGGGCTGGGTGTAAGGTTTTGGCTGCCTAGCTACAGGCGTGCTATAGGCGCGCTGGCTAGCAACAGGTGTGCTACAGGCGTGCTGGCTAGCAACAGGCGTGCTACAGGCGTGCTGGCTAGCAATAGGCGTGCTACAGGCGAGGTGGCTAGCAACAGGCGTGCTGGCTAGCAACAGGCGTGCTACAGGCTTGGTGGCTAGCAACAAGCGTGCCAACTACTGGCCAGCCAGTCTCTAACAGGAAATTTGTGATATCCATGTGCATAGAACAAACCATGATTGATTATGAAATAGTTGTTGTGACACCATTCCATGAAATGTTGTGCGTCAAAATAACGTTATCAAAAATGGTAACTCTACATCTTTTAAGTCGTATAATAGCGCGTTTTAGCTATATCTTCTCTGTCAAAGGGAAAGACTGATAATCTAATTAACTAGATATTCGATAATGTGGTCATGTTAAATTTAATTCCCATAAGCTTGTTCGATACAGAAAAAAAAAAAAGAATTATTTCATCTTCGAGTTTAAACAGAGATATAAAGCAGCTTACTGGCAACAGCACAAAATAAAAAACATGAGATAGACATAACAGCTTTAAGCAAAAATAATGGGCATATGAGGTTAGTAACAAAACTGACTTTTATCTTCAAAAAACATTACATTACCTCTGTCTCTTTGCAAGAGACGAAACGAATTTTTCGCATCAAGTGAACAAGAACTAGCTTCATTTCCATGATGGCAAATCGTCTACCAATACACATACGTGGACCGCCTCCAAATGGTAAAAACAACATCGGATCCACCTTGTGGCCACTTTCCGGACTAAATCTGCACCAAAAATCAATTGAATGTATTAAGAAGAGAAGAAAAACAAAACATGAAAATAGGGTAATGATGAAATCATTTCATAAATTTAAATTAGATGCTTTATAAAAAAAATGATGCCATACATAGAAACATGTGTCAACATGTCAACATAAGCATTATCCGAATCATTTTAAATATAACAAAGGTAAGACATGAACGAAAGAAACATTTACGAGGAGAAAAAAATAAAAGGAGATTAATTCCGAGTGTTTTCGCAAAAGTAAGCGTCTACAGCTTCTTTGCTGACGCATCTTTGTCAAACAAAGTAAGTAACGTAATGGTCTCAAATGGGAAAAACGTTTACAACATCGGAACCAACAGGCAAACTTACGAGGGTCGAACACGTCCTACTTCATATCGGAAAAAAATAGAATATTTCTCTCTGAGACTGTAACGACAACTGTAAAACTTCCCAATAATTGCCATCAACTTGCATTTTTGAAAAAGCTGTATAACGCGTTTGTGCGTCAATTGACAATTTCGTTCACAAATTTAGGATAAACGGAAGAGTCCCTCAATATCGAATCAACTGCAAAATCTCAATACCATAGATTCGGGATTTAGATATGTTGCTACCCAGAAATGGAAAATTCACAATAGGAAAATTGAAATAATCACACTTATCATACAGCTCAGAAAGCTGTCCATGTTGGTTTCCTTGAAGGCAAAGATCGCGATAAGCGGCTGATATTATTTGTCGTGTCCTTGACAACAAGTAGCAACAACACATAAGCATGGTATACACCCATTACGACGAAAAATATAAAAATATGATTTTTTGTCAACTGTTTACGATTTCCTTCATTTTCTTTGAATTTTACAAAGTACACATTAAAATGATATGCAAATTTTCTATAAAGATTAAAATTATAAATGCAAAACAACTGTTTTTAAATTTACCGTTCAACAACTGAAATTACATTTCAATACAAGTTAGACAGACCTTTCTGGACGGAAATCCTCAGGGTCAGGGTAAATGCTTGGGTTATGGTGTATATGATAAATAGGGATTACAACTGCGGCCCCTTTTGGAATTTTTACTCCCTGTATGGTTGTTGACTTGCTGCAATGTCTGCTCAATCTGAAACAACAAAACACAAACAAGAAAGAATTAAAAACATCATAACGGCAAAATATCATCAAGGAAATCGGTTTTCATGTTTTTCTTTCCATTTTTTTATGTTATACACAGTCACTGTATACCAAATAATGTCGTTCTTTCATAAAACAAATCGGAATACGAAATAAAAATGCCAGCTATCAATGCATAGATAAGTGATATGAATAATTCTTTTACTTCATCAAAGCGCAAGGAGTGAAACAGGAACATATATTGAAGTAATGAAACACGAGGACAGATAAAGAGCATACAATTACATACATCTGTTGAAGCTCTCTGTCGATAAAGTATCTAAATAAGAAACCTCCTTAATATAAATATAGAATTGATTATAGTGGAGCCAAATAATAAGTAAAAATGCATCACACAGCTGTTTTGTCCTTGTAGGATTCATCAGTGTTGCTAAAAACCTTGATGACGGAGAGAAAATCGAAAGTGGTTAAGGAAAAAATGTCAAAATCTAGATAAGCAGTTGATTTTGTACCATATTTCAATAAATTTCACGATTTTAATGCCTCTGGTAATTTTAACAGAACGTTAAGAATATTTGTATACTATGAACCATGCTATTATTTAGGGGGGGGGGGGGGGGTTGTGATGCATAGAATTGTACCGTAGGTTCAACTTATGATACGATAATTACGGCATAATGATACAAATACTTGGCTGATGCTGTTGAAATCAGTGGTAACATCTTTTTTTGTTAGATTCCGTATTTTTCGTACAATAATACTGACTCGATGCAAGGAACATACCTTCCGAGGGTGGGGTACTTTCTCAAAGCCTCGTTGATGACGTAGCCCGTGTACTTTAAGTCCTGTAGGTGGTTATAGTTCGGCTCAGCCTGTCAACAGGACAACATTAAGCATGGAAATACTTAACTCGATTTAAAGCTGTTTTCTATGTTAATTCTTTTGTATGTATTTATAAAACGTTTGTATTGTTTCAATGATCTCCATTTTAATCTTTCGTTGGTTGTTTTTTAGTTACTAATTTTGTTTCAATTTCTGTGTGCTTTTCACAATATCCATTTTCTCTCCCATCGCCTTCAATTAAAATATCAAAAACAACATTACTGGATTAAAGCATGCAAGACAAAACCTTGATATCTGTGTTCGGTATCGCTTTACTTGTTTCTTTATCCGTGTCAGATACGTTCTATATGATTATTGTTTCACAATATTGAAATCAGCTGATCGGCGTTTGCGGGAATATGAAGTCATAAAAATGAGACATGCGCATTTACACTTTTCCATACTTTGAATGACCCACCTGTCCAACAACGTCTTTAATTTCATTCTTCAGTTTGTTCTGCACGTGTTGGTTCAGTGCCAGTTCGTATGCGATATACTGGAGACATGATCCCGTAGTTTCGTATGCACCAATAAGGAAAGCAAATGATTGGGCATTAACCTCTTCCGTAGATAATTCTAGGAAACAGAACAAAACAATCATCTTAATATATTAAAACTTGACTTATCGTTACTATTAAATATTGAAGGTATTGACAGACAGATATTTCAGCAGATATGCCGGTATTTGTTTAAAAATCAGAGAGAAAAAACGTTATCATCGGTATTTTGACCACGTCAGATATTTTTTAACTCGAAATTGCGATATTGTAAGTCACAAGTTTGAGAAAATAGCGTTAGATAGACATGTACATGAATGTTAGTGTCCTGTCAATACTAGAGCAGTCATGTCGTAATCACGTGAGCTGAGCTATAATTGTTATAACAAATGTTCTGCTTTTGTTTTCCTTTTACGAGATGTTAATATTTGAGTGTCACGGTAAAATATGCATAACCTCTAATTGAAAACTAATATGTATACATTTACTGAAAGTTGAAAATGAAAACATTAATCTTATAAGTGTCTATTTATCTATTGGATCATCCGGCTTGTGTGTAAAATACATCCTTATTCCAGAATTTATAGATTTAATAAAGGCTTGATTTTAATAGATAGTCGTTGGTTTCATATCCGCCACACTTACGGCAACGGGAATTCCTGATATTTCTTCATCTGTTTTAATTTTTTGTAAACACGCGACAACTCTACTTTTTTCTATGGCACCCATTGATAGATATAGATAGTAAGTAAACTAATCAACCTTGTTCGGTTATGTTTCTGCTTTGTATAACACTATGAATGTGCGAAGACTATTTAGTATTTTTTACGCTTCACAATTTAAATACTGCAAGATTATAGAGCATTCACAAACAAACATATGATGTGGCATATTGAATGACAAATCGCGTGGAATTGCCCGTTCTGGTCGTAACAAAAAGACAGAGTATTTCAACAGGAAAAAACGTATCTGTTGTATATCTCAGAAGGTCTAATAAACGAAAATAGCCATCCATGTATCTCAAAATTTTCTAGTTAATATCACATTACTTCGACTTTATGTCTTAAAAAATTGACTTACTATTTTGAAATTTTTAGTTAAAAATCTGACGTGACCGAAATACGTTTCCGTAATACTGGCATAGAAAGTCACATAGAATATAGCAACTATTCATCGCTTTAGGTGATACATGTTAAAAATCCCAAATATATGCTTCATTGGCAATGTTACGAGATTCAGAAAATTTCTCAGAAAAAAAAATCCACTTTGTAATTATGCAAACATCAGTATAAAGCATACGTAAGCTGAGTATAACTTATTCAGGAACATTTTTGGAGATATCAAAAGCCGACTTGAAATAAAAATCGATGTTATACGGGGTTCATAGGGAGATCAAGAAAAACACATGTGACCAATCTGCATTCAGAACATACCAACATGGCAACATAATCACAATCCAAGCTCAAAGTCCATAAACTAGGGCAAAATAGGAACAAGGAGAATAAGAGCAAGTGTTCCGGAAGAATAGGCGTCTTCTGCGACACCCGCCATATAATCCATGATAGTAATGTCACGTTCTCAAATGAGAACAATGTATACAACGGAACCAACAGGCAAAGCTATGAGCATAAATCACGTCCAACTTCGTATCACACAAAAGATATAGAATTTCTGAATGGGATGACTATGGCGACAATAAATCTTCCCCATAATTTCCATCAACCTACACCTTTTGAACCCCTATGTTGCGAGTTTGTTCGTCAGTTGACAACTTCTTGTAAGAAAATCGTGATAATAGGAACACACCCTAGAATATAGAATCATCTGTGATATGTACATACCATAGGTTGGAAATGCAGGGATATTGCTAGGCAGAAGTGGAAAATTCACACAACATCAGCATGTGAACATGATCATAATCGACGACTTCATGAACGAAAGTCGTGATAATGTGAGAAGGCCCTTGAATATCGAATCATCTGCGATATGTTAACACTATAGGTCGGAGTTGCAGAATTGTTGCTATCCAGAAATGGAAAATTAACATATTATTCAGTTTAGTAGAAAGTTGTCCATGTTGGTTTCGTTCTAGGAAAAGATCGAGATAAGGAGCTGATGTAAAATAGTCTGTCGTGGCTTTTTTATTTCCAAGTCTGGTGGATATATATACAATGGACGTGGTAAATAAATTCTGGTTATTTAAAGGCAAGACGTCATCAATATATCTGAAGGTGAAATTGAATGACATCGCAAGGTCTTTGTGACCTATTTGATACGCTCTTTAATAAATTCAACTTCGTATGAAAACAAAATCAAGTCAGCCAATAGAGGGCGCAGTTAGTTCCCAGAGGTATGTCTATAGTATGTTGGAAGATCTTACCGCCAAACTCGCCGAAGGTATTGTCAAACAAAATCTCGATCATCTGCATAATTTCGTCCTTACTATATTTCTTCTTTGATTTGGACGTATTTTTACGAAACGCTCTTCAGTATAATCCACAATCATATAGTCATAACACCGTTCACCTTTCTTGGAGAAGAAAGTTCTCATAACAAGTGAACGAAGACGTTCATTTTGTTAAGAATATGGTATGGTAGCGTACAGGATGAATAAATAAATTGATCTTATAGAAAAAAATGTTGTTTTCTTAATAAACAGTATCACAATAAGACTAACCCAGATTTGATAGTTGTTAAAATGGTGGTTAGCAGTTTTGACTACGTCCTCGTTGAACAGTTAGATAGCTAGCAATAAACATTTATTTATAAGGTTTTTTTGTGATGTTTAGGGATCCAATATAAACGGGGGAGGTCCGTATCCCTATCATTAATAGGCACGTACACAAGTAAAGTGGGATGTCGTATGTGCTGCGCGCTTTTTACAACATCATATCACAGGCAGAATGCATAACGTATATAAGGGTTAAGAGTAAATACCGATATCCACTGGAAATGTATCAAAGATTTTTACGACTTCGCTCCAGCAAAGACAGTGAATTGGGTCATGTTTATATAAAATGAATTTCAACTGCCTTTGTAAAACACCACTACACAATATCGTCTTGAATGTATTAACGCCGAGTTCATTATTACTCTATCGATATGTATTTAGAGTATAGTTTTTCTTCTCCTTTTTAGTTAACGTTGCATACATTGGGACTTTAATTAAGTATTGACCTTGATTTATATTCAATCCGAATGAATCTATCGAGTTTTCATTGCAAACCTATCTAAATTTGGCCTCTTAGTTTCGTTTATAAACGATATCTCGTCAAATTAGTTCCAGTAGCCATTACTCGTTAGACATCAATATTCTGTCATACTCGTGCTTTGGTTCAATCCTCTTTTTTCAGCTGATATGTGTTAACAAACATCAGATGAAAGTGTTCGTAGAAAGTTTTACACACTTGTTTTGTTTCCGTGCTCTTCCCAACTGAGATCAGATAGCATTTGCAATAAATCATCTTTCCGCTGGAAAAGAAAACATTTGCCCTTAAGGTGATTGTTTTACTTTTTTTTCATCAAATTTTATTTTCCTTGCTTTAGTGGAGATTCGTGATCCTAATCTTATGCATTAATGAATGTGTTTACATAACAGCACTTTCAAAGACAAATTGAAATGAGACCCGCGGTATGGTGTCACAATGCAATGTAATTTATAGTGTTATGATGTTCATACCGATCCTATAAATCACATGTAAAAAGGTGCCGAGAACATTTAAATCGGTCGTTAATGATAAACGAGCGTACTTGTATAAGGGAAATTAACATAACTCATAAATAACAAAGGTGTTTATTACTTCAATTACCAATTTTGTATGAACTAAGCTCACATCAAAAAGAACTTCATAATTAATTATATATCAATATATTGCCAATTAAGCCTACATGGTATGGTAATTTACATAAAAACAACATGCTGCCAAATTAGACAATTACCAAGGATGAATGTGTGTTTCAATACTAAATATCACAAACTTTGTCTTACCCACTTTTATCGACATCGAATATCTATTAATGTTTATAGACTTACCAGTTTAGGATCTTTACGTCGCTTGTCAATCATTTGCGTTGTTTCATCAGCAATGAATTGAACGGCTTTCGTTGGAAACGGGCTGACATCACACATTTTCAGGATTTTGTCGCCATACGGAATTATTACTAAACAATCAATAAAAAACTATTATTATTTCATAAACCATTTTTGACATGATTTTTTTGTCAGAATCTAGGAACTGATTATATTTTATCCTCTCAACATAATGTACTTTCAATAGATAAATGATAGGTTTGTAGTATTCATTAGTCATGTACTCACGCAAAACATATAACAAACCAAAAAAATAAGTTAAATTTCTAAGAATGTTTAGACACAAATAATCACTCCAGTATTTTCAATTCAATGTGTCAATATCATTTTCTTTTGATATTTTGATAATTATATTCTCATCTCATAAATCATTCAGACATATACTAAACAAAAAAAGAAAGGTGACACTACTTTATTCTGTGATTAATTAAATAACCCCTTCATAAATCCTTACCAATCATGTACGAATAAAGTAATTGATCAATTCTGATAAAACTGCAGTCATGGTTCATTATAAAACTTTGCGTTCAGTTGATTTTATTCGACTGTAAAGGACGTTGGGGTCAATTTCAAAGGTAACACCATTAGTAACGGTAATGGCCACCGTTTGCGAAGTAAACGGCATTGCAGCGTCGTCGCATGGAATTCGTAAACCGGCGGATAATTCAAGGAGAGATGTTGTTCCATTCAGCGATCAAGGCTTGGGCCAGCTCCTGCAATTTTGACGGCTGATTTTGACGTTCTCTCAGAACTTCCGTGATATGCTCAATCGGTGACAAATCAGGTGATTTAGATGGCCAATCTAACACCTGTACGTTATTCTGCTGCAAGAAAGTTCTGCTGACGCGACTGGTGTGCGCTGGTGCGTTATCCTGTTAAAAATGGCGCCAACGCCATGGCGTCTTAAGAATGGCAGAACTACTGGTCTTAAAATTTCGTCCCGATATCGAATGCCGATTAAATTGCCATTTAACACAACAAGCTTGGTACGAGTCCCCCCACAAATACCACCCAAAACCATTACACTTCCGCCGCAAAAGCGGTCCCGTTCTGCAACGCAGCAGTTCGCAAAACGCTCCCCTCAAAACCTGGACTCATCTGAAAAAAGAACATTGTTCCATTGTCGTAAGGCCCAACGACGGTGAACATGGGTCCAGTAACGCCGATTATTACGGTGACAAAGTAAAGAAATATCGTATAACGGGAAAACGTATGGAACTCCAAAGGATATATGTGAAGCCTTTGCATGCTACTTTGAAGGCATTTACAACGGAGTACGTATGGAAGCGGAAACGGAAGTACCAAAGCGACATTGTGTAAAATCAGAAAATCTTGAAGTACTCAATGCGAATTATACCTTCACAGAAGTAGAAAACGCGATTAGAGACACGAAACTGAGAAAAGCTCCGGGTCCAGATAATATCTGTTATGAGCACTTCCGGTATGGTGGACGGAACTTGATACTTTGTATATTAAAACTATTCAATTCAGTTCACAATTTAGGATTTATACCAAAATCCTGGAAACACGGAATCATTATTCCACTGTATAAAATAACCACAAGACACGGTCTAATCCCGATAATTACCGGCCGATCTCTCTACTTCCGGTACTGTATAAATTGATGGAGAAGGTTGTTAGTAATCGGATACAGCAGTGGCTCCCATGTACAAGCATCCGGCTAAATAGACAACAGCAGGGATTCCAAAAACGACTTGGATGTGAAACTGTGTCTTTCAACATAAGAGAATGTGTTTATTGGAATATTGAAAATAACAGTAAAATTTATGCAGCCTTCCTGGATACCCAGAAGGCATTCGATACAGTCTGGCACGCTGGGCTGATGAGAAAAATATATGAATTTGGTATTAGAGGGAATATACTGACTTTTTTTGTCAATGCGTACAATAATATATCAAGCGCTATAATGACCCACGGGACTAGATCACGGACGCTACCTGTTCGTTCTGGTATTAGGCAAGGTGGGATCGCTTCCACGTTTTTATATCTCATATTCATAAATGATTTGTTGAATGATTTGGAAAACTCTAATGAGGGAGCAAAGATTATGGACATAAAATGTGGAAACCCCGCGCTTGCAGATGACTTAGTTCTGCTTACCATTTCTCCGTCGTCCCTTCAAAATATGCTGGACATCTGTACCGGATATGCAAAGACCATGCACTTCCGGTACAATACAGAAAAGAGTACAATACTTGTATTTGGGAAAAGACGAAACGAAAACGTTAAAGCAACATGGACACTTATGGACAAGAGTTTGAAAACGTCAAAATCTTGTAAGCATGTTGGTATGATCTTATCAGAAGATTTGAAGTGTTCCGGAGCAATGCAGAACGCATGCATAAAGGGAAGAAATTCATTCAATCTGATCACCAAATTTGGATCGGATTGCAAAAGGACGAATCCATTAATAACTGTAAATTTGTACAAAAAGGTGGTTCTTCCAAGCGTATTGTACGGATCGGAGTTTTGGTGTAACCCGAACAAAAAGGACATACAGCAAATCCGGGTATTTCAACTTTAGATAGCTAAGAGAACACAGTGTCTTCCAAAACATACCCGATCAGACATAGCAGAGTCCTTGTTAGGTCTCATAAGGATAGAAACTGCAATAGAACGGCGGAAACTGAATTTTCTGTGTTCTCTCATCAACTTACCATCATATACGCTAACTAAAGACATTTTAGTTCGTAGACTGTATCAGTATCGCGATAACAATGGGGAAAGACAGATGGGATTTATTCCGGACGTTAACAAACTCTTACTGAAATATAAATTGAACAGTAATTTAGATATCTATTTGGACACTGTTAAATTTCCGTCTAAAACAAGCTGGAAACAGAGCGTTAAAAATGTGACGTTGTATTTAGAAAACGAACTACTTGCAGACCGTATGCAGAAAGACAATGATTTCCTACGTTTCAAGGAAGTACATGGAAATTATGAACCATGGATAATGTGGACATTTCCGGTTAAATCTCAACGTGATAGTTCCGTGGTACGATATTCAAACAAAATCTTGGCGACTATTCCAAACTGGATAGAAGGTCGATGTCAACTATGTGGATCTTCATACATTGACATCATACTACATATTGTGACGACTTGTGACGTCACACAATTTCTAAGAATTGAGTATATGATATCGATCATAGAAAGATGTGGCAACGAGTTTGGTGATTATCTAAATAATTTACCACATGAAGAACTCTTAAGGCATCTTTTAGGTAAAGATACCAAAGCTTTCAAACATTTAATAGACACAAGAACATTTTATCTGGAAAGCACAAAATATATAGCAAATGCCGCCACACTTTACTTTGACAAAACCAGAAATAATCTTATGGCCATCGCATAGAATTGTGTACATTAGATAATTGTGCGTTACATTTAAAAACAAAAGGACTGTTGATATTATCAGCTTTATTGTAACATGCATTATAACAACGGACAATTAGATATATAACTTTGTATAATATCGTATCTCTTATTAAGAGGAATAAAAAATTTGATTGATTGATTGATTGATTGATTGATGACCCAGTTTGGTTTAAACGACTTACCAACTGGCAAATTGCACTGCAACTAAAATGCCGCGCTACTCGACGGCGAGACTCCCTAGCCTGGATCATGCCTACAGCCCTTTCTCTCTGTACTTGTGACAGCCGGGGCATAATGATAAAGTTGATAGATAGCAAGATTCGATGATTTCTAAGTCCTAAGGATCTAAGGATCAGTTGTTAGTTTGAATGTTTATGAAATTCAAGCGAAGATACAAGTTAGTCGCAGAAAACCTCGTGACGCTCTTTCGCTAATGTAAAACATTACCATTTTCTAATATTGCACAAACGTCATTTTGTTTTCACTCATTTACAGGTATTCGCCAAGGAAACATGTTAACCTTTCTTTTTTTGTTGAGTATATGTGTCAATGTCTGTACGACCTTCTCTACACAGTACGTTACAAAAAAACTAAGTAGTAAGATTTACGTTTGTAATTTTATGTACACGTAAATAAAAATGGCAATGTTTACCTGCAAGAATTAGAGACAGATTAAATTTGTTGCAGAACAGATGTTGCAAATTGTCATAAAATATTCCTTTTTTCTTATCGTCGTTGTCCAAATCTAAACCGAATCCACAGGTAGAAATAACATTAAGGGCATACGTAAGAAAGAGTCTGAAATTAAGAGATGTTAAGTACAAAACACGCTGTAAGCTTCTGTAATTCAAAGTTATAATTCGAGGAATTTGATCAAAATAATGAAGTGAACTGCACCTTAAAGCTGTTTCGTCATTCTAGGACTGACAATGAGAATAAGGGCATATACTTTAAAACCTTGGAGGCGATTAAAGAAATCCAAAGTGATTGAAAGAAATTGCAAAATGCCGTGTAATGATATATAACAGTTTCATTAAGATGTGTTTTGATTCCTAACATTTGGATATGATCTATCCATTTAAATGGAATTACCAGTTGAATAACTCAAAAGAACGGAATTTTATATTTTTTGTACATACGATTTTGGGGTGATGGTGCTGTCAGCGGTTGCAGCCTTCTCGAACTCAAATGTGACAGACGCTGCGCATTTGTTAACACTTGCTGTCATCTATAAGACATAAACGACGTATCAATCCCTATATACATGTAAACATGCTTTATTTGACAAGTTTGCAATCACATTCTCCTGTAAAACACAAATAAAAATAAACCTGTAAATAAAAAAGGCAATAAATGATGAACAAAAAGTCCACAGGGCCTGTATCGCTCAACTGGTTTTGCTTGAATTAAAGGAAAATAAATTCTAAATTTCCAGGTACACAAGATAAAATATTGATCTCCCATTGTTCCACAGTTTTTTGTCCTTCAGGGGTAAGCCAAACTCCTGCTGTATATTAAATAGGGTCACAATCCTGCAATTCCTACAGGAAAAATGAAGAATGTGCTCTTTTTCCTCTCCTACCATTCCAAGAGGTCAAGACCCATTGATTTTTTTTTTACAAAAGTCATTTCCGTTTTGGGGGGTTTCCAATACTTATTTCTCATAGAGGCCGGCCTTCAGATGTTTCACCCTTTGAGACCACTCACCGATACATTGCTTTATGCCATCAATGTTGGATATATTTATTCCAAATTCATCATTGACGTATGTGCCTAATTAACTTATTACGTAACTAAATTATTAAACTATGAACGCCGATTGTTACAAAATGGATAAAAACAAATAAGAAGGTCGAACCATAAACTACCAAGATATTAAAACAGGAAGTTTATCACGAAATCAATGATTCCTTAAGCATTTTTTGGGTCAAACGTCAATTTGTGATGAACCAATGACATTTTGAATGTCTTATATGTTCAGCCCGTTAGAAATTATTTAGCATGTAGATAGCTTTACCTCTACCCTAACCCTGCCCAAAGATCGAAACTTCGCCATTTGTGCAAATTGGTATTTTTTTGCCTTGATGTATATCACTCCAATGGCTTGAACATACCAAACCATATGTTACATTCTAAACATTCATGTTCACATGAGCATTTTCTAATATATAACAACCCTCAGCACGCACACAGGAAATGCCGGCATGTCCTTGAAAGACTTTTACTATCAATTATAATTAGGCTGTTAAACACAATATATCATATGACCGATAGTACTAAACAAATCTTCCAACAACATATTATATACCCCATATACTCTAATATCACCAATCGTTCTTTGCACATTGCTTTCTACATTTTGTACTGATATAGAGACTTTAAACACCTAATACAATACCGTTCACACAAAGGAAGTAGATGTGTAAGTGCGGGTTGTTACGTTGTCTTTAGGAGAGACATCAAAACCAAGAAATCTGATAGAAATATACGACTTCCCTAGCACAATTGGTTGTTTGATGTTAAAAAAAGATGACAATAACTGATGAGTAAGACATTGGTATGTGTGCTAAGTGAATTATCAGAATAGAAAATCACAACCTGACGGTCAAACCGCATGGATGATCATACATGTCAAAATATTCAACTATTATCCATAGAGGATCTATTTTAAGACAAATCTTCCCACGCAAAATGCACGCTGTGTATGAAGAGTTTCAATCAAAACTCGACAATATTGCCCAAGCGCGTTAAACACCAACTCATCTTTTATCACAAGCTGTGGTGTCCGTGGTCATCATTTATTTGTTTACATTATGTAAACGGAAAATATAATATAATATAAAAAGAAATGTTGACTTCCCAGCTAAGTTACAGATCATTCGAAATCGTCAACGGATTTATTCTGTTAATTAGACACTTTGGATTTATTTTAAAATTTCAATATGCGGAACAAAAGACTGAAAAAAACATTAGTCTAATAACTAATTACAATATCTCTCTGACTAGTTAAGTTTATACTACCAGAGGTTTTCAGCCCCCAAATCATGGCACTGAGTGTGTTCTGTGTGGTTTAATATATGTTGGTGAAACAAAAGGAAATTTAAGACAACGAATGAATGGTCATCGTTCAACAGTGAACCGTGGAGAGAATAAATATTTGTATCAACAGTTCAAACTCCCGGAAAAAAAATTACCACTGTACGAAAGACCCCAAACTGAGCCCACCATGTTGTAGACAACGTGAGGAACATTATATTTGACTGCCGCGCCGTATGGTTGCAATGACCGTGTGGACTCAGTAGAAAGTTGACCAGTCCTGGATGGAGTAACACTAACGTTATGGCTTTACTCACTCCTCAAACTAGACGTAATCGTAGCCACCGACATTATGATAAATCTAAGGGATACACGGTCACGTTTGAAAATCTGATGGATACTTTACAGAGACCACTGGGTGTTCTAGCTCTAGCATGATCTAACTACGTTGTATTCATTTCCTCTCTCCGTGCTACGAAAGCTTCAAGTGGATGCAGCTAATAAATATTACATGAAATATCAATGACGTCATCACCTGACACCAACACATACTGAGTATCTACAGAAATATCGATAAGATGGTCTTTAAGACACAAATATCACTATACAATGGCTATCACTCTTTTTGACATACCTTTCGGATCTTTGGTGTATGGAACACAGGCATCAATAGCGATCGAACCCTTTTCCATTCTTCGTCATGTAGAAAACTAACCCCTTTATTTAAGGGATCAGGGAAAATGTCGGGTACCTGAAATTCACAAAAAAAAAGACAACTTTTCTTGCCAAACTTTAGAGAACACGATTTTGTAATACAACGCATTGTTTTCAAAGTTGCCTACACATATACGTTTAATCAAAAGATGGTAAAAATACTATAAATACTTTTCCAACGATAACATAACATTCATACTGTCTAGTCACCGTAATGCATTTCACCGCTTTTACTTTTCGGATGCAAATGAAGTGTACATTTCCCGTACTTTTTTCAACGCCACTTTATCGTATTTTTGTTTGTTTGTTGAGTTTTTTTTGTGTTTTTTATTGTTATATATGTCACTCGTATGACAGAATACATCTATCTCGCACTCTTCGAAATTTAACGATATTCTATCTTACTCGTGGAAAGTATGTGATATTAATCTGGATACCATACCGTACACCCATCATTAAAATACACACATATATATGTAAACTTATAATTCAAATAAGAGAACATATTGCAACATCCAGATAGCATAGAATGGAATGCTCTTCATGGATGGAAGCATCTGAAGATGCTTTACCAAAATAGTTTTCCTGATGTCATTATCTCGCGTTTCCTCGTCGAGAGGAGTTCACTGTAGTTTATGCAGGACAAGAGGCACAATCGGCCTGTATTGCTCACTTGATATTCAATGTTCATCAAAAATAGAATCACGTCACAAATATATTGACATATACACCATTGGCATTCAAAGTAGATACAGCCTGTCAAGTTAAAGAAATTTCAACAACACAGAATTTCTAATTCTCTTATACTCTGATCCTAGAAACTAATCATCCAAACATCATACTTCAGCACCGTTTGAACATGCGTCAAGGTCATTTCGTTTTATCTCGGTACATAAGTACATACCAGACAAATGCCGTGCCTCTAGGCCTTTTAGTTCATGAGGAGAAGACGTTTCAATGTTTTAGAAAACATGACCCCTTAGACATTGAAAAATTACTTTTCCATGACCTTGAAAGCTACTCAGCCTTTAACATTTATATTTAATATTGTTTACCTCAGGTGACCGTCAAGGCAAATTGACCTTCATTAATTTCATTAGACAACAGGCAATTGGAGTAGTGGAAAGTATTCCGATTGTTACCTGAATGTTAATATCACTTACACAGCAGTTATGTTGTTGACCAATCAAAGGTCATGACATTGTGATGTCGCTAAAAACATGGCATGAAAGACATGGAGCGTGATACTAGTAGAGAGGTTATAACACAACAGATTTGACATTTCGATGACAACACTGTCACCATCATTAGATAAATGACCAATGTGAAGCGTATCAGCATTGAAGTATATGTAAGGATTGAGAGAAATGGTGCGGAATCAAATTAATTTGATGTCTGTACTATAATCTAGTGTAAACCAAGGTAACGAAAAGTGAAAGAAGGCTTATTTAACTGTATTTCACAAACTTACCCATCTGTTAGTGAAAATGTTGAACTTTTTCACAAGTACTTCGCTGATCATGGTCCTGTCTCTAATTACAACGTTTAAGATGAAACCGTTGTACCACCTGTTTAGTAAATAAACAATAATCTTGCCGTAAAGATGATCCATAGATAAAATTATTATTAACATTATTATTATTATTGTTATTATGACATTCTTAACGGCCGTCAACACATAAAAGGTCATAAGGGCCATCAACCGGTAGAAACACATAGCGATCCAAAAAGGTAATAACATCAAACAAACTAAAAGGTAAACGACAAATGTTTAAAATCTTATATGGTAATATTATCACTAAAGATTAAAATGGTAAGTCATATTCTATAATATAAGCAAATATCTTTCAGATAACCTAGACTTTTATAAATCAAAGTTAATTATATAGACCAACATCTAATTAACATAAAATATGAAAACAAAGCTTTTAAAACAGAAAACTATGACATCTATCCTTGTATCTAATAAGAGCAGTAAAGCGTTACTGTATTACTATAGGAGGCATATTTTCTAAATATTTAAACTGACGGAGTAATCTTTTTAAAAACGTTTTTCAAAACCTCATGAAATTGTCTTTGTATTTCATTATAATGAGAGCAAGTCAGAAAGCGTGAAGTAGACACTTACCCCACCACATTACCATAATGCTCCAACCAAGCTGTTTCTGTTTGTATCAGGCCCTGTTGAAACCGGCATAATGAAGTGTTAATAAAATATGTATTTTTAAGACAACAAACTGTAAAGCCCAGTATTTAACACAAGTCATCTTGAAACATTCAATTTGATAAAGGTTACCTTAGTACAATGAATTCAACATGTAAATTTACAATTACAAACTATTATATAATTTACAATATTACTTATTTGTACATGTTGGTTGACGGTTAAACATCCAATCTTACATAAAACGTACTTTGCAAAAATATATTCAGCTTAAAAATTTACTGTAGTTTTGCTTTAAACATTTAATAATATGTGTTAATCGAGAAAAAAAAAATAAACAACGATATCTATTTGAACGTAGGAACACCATCAAGTCATCTGATCAAATTTGAAGAAAATACGACGGATGAAGATTTCCCATCAATATGTATAAAGATATCAACAACAACACCCCAAAACTTCTGAGACGTAACACAGGTCCAGATCGTACTTTGCGGAAAAGCTTGTGGATGCTCCCGATGATTGGAAGCGATGGTATCATTTGTATACCGCCTTCCTCCAGTTCACGAATCTTCCGTTTGTTGTACCTTTAACAGAAAAGGCAAAATGTTTTTAAATTGATATTGATGACATAAAATAGTTATTGCAGACGTGCTTAATGTCCGTATTCACTAGACCGAATCAAAATTTAACGTCTATGACTGCATCCTTTGTCATGACTTTAAATCGCCCATATTTCAAAAACACGTCATCTCACCCCTTCTGTTATATTCGTGAACACAATATTTCGCAAACGCTGATCTGGAAAGATGTTTGAGGCTGGACGTGATTGTGCTCGGTGGTTTTCCTGTGGGTTCCATTGTTATGTGCATTGTTCTCATTTTAAAAAATTCTAGTCCGCAATATGAGATAGTTCTTTAAGGATTCTAAAGATGTTTGGATTTTAAAAGTATCAAGTAGTATGTTTAAAGGTATATATAAATTCAACGGCGGAAAAATAAAGATGTCATCAATTGTTGTTATTTTCGTATTGATCAGAACATTACAGTTTACGCACCAACCATTCACTCTGTTATATTTGTAATGAAACTATGAATGATGGTAAGAAGTAAGTCATAAAATAACAAAGTGAAGTAATTAGTTTGATAAAGTCAACCATATCCTGTAATAGCAAAAACCACCAAACAAAAGATACCAACGTACCAAAGATAGAGAAATCCTGTTACCACGGCCAATACGGCTGTCCACACGTTCATCTCTGGCAATAGCATTGTTGAATATACCTACAAAGACAAGTACACACTGCTTTATACTTCTCACGTGTGGTTAGCGTGTGATCCAGGTTTCGCTAGGGAATGTATATCACACAATGTTGGCAAATGAGAGTCGCTATGCTCGCAAACAATTGAATAACACCATTAATTTCAACATTGACGCCATTGATTATTGAGGGTAACATAAAGGGTTCACGATCACGACTCCTAAAATGTTGACTTTTTTTGTAATTACAGTGCATGTTAAGATAATATAATGATAACGTGGTTTGTTCAGGTAATGTCTTTATAAAAGGCAATATCAGATAAATATGACACAAAACTTGTCGAATAAAAATACTGCAATATCTGAAAAAAATAAAAAAACGTTGCAAACGCAATGCTCAACCATTTAGCAATTGGCGATGTATAAACATTTTGACTGTCAGAATTGAGAACGAAGCGTAATTTATATGATATTAATTTATACAAGGTAAAACAGTTCGGTTTCCTAAGAATTGCGATTAATGAAAAAAAATATAAGCAATCAGTGTAAAAATATTAGCAATCGACGTGAAAATATTAGCAATCGATGTGAAAATATTAGCAATCGACGTGAAAATATTAGCAATTGATGTAAAAATATTAGCAATCGATGTGAAAATATTAGCAATTGATGTAAAAATATAAGCAATCAGTGAAAAATATTAGCAATCGATGTAAAAATATTAGGAATCGATGTAAAAATATTAGCAATCTTTGTAAAAATATTAGCAATCTTTGTAAAAATATTAGCAATCTTTGTAAAAATATTAGCAATCGATGTAAAAATATAAACAATCAGTGAAAAATATTAGCAATCGATGTAAAAATATTAGGAATCGATGTAAAAATATTAGCAATCTTTGTAAAAATATTAGCAATCTTTGTAAAAATATTAGCAATCTTTGTAAAAATATTAGCAATCTTTGTAAAAATATTAGCAATCGATGTAAAAATATAAGCAATCAGTGAAAAATATTAGCAATCGATGTAAAAATATTAGGAATCGATGTAAAAATATTAGCAATCTTTGTAAAAATATTAGCAATCTTTGTAAAAATATTAGCAATCTTTGTAAAAATATTAGCAATCTTTGTAAAAATATTAGCAATCTTTGTAAAAATATTAGCAATCGATGTTAAAATATTAGCAATCGATGTAAAAATATTAGCAATCTTTGTAAAAATATTAGCAATCTTTGTAAAAATATTAGCAATCGATGTTAAAATATTAGCAATCGATGTAAAAATATTAGCAATCTTTGTAAAAATATTAGCAATCTTTGTAAAAATATTTGCAATCGATGTGAAAATATTAGCAATCGATGTTAAAATATTAGCAATCGACGTGAAAATATTAGCAATCTTTGTAAAAATATTAGCAATCGATGTTAAAATATTAGCAATCGACGTGAAAATATTAGCAATCTTTGTAAAAATATTAGCAATCGATGTTAAAATATTAGCAATCGATGTAAAAATATTAGCAATCTTTGTAAAAATATTAGCAATCTTTGTAAAAATATTAGCAATCTTTGTAAAAATATTAGCAATCGATGTTAAAATATTAGCAATCGATGTAAAAATATTAGCAATCTTTGTAAAAATATTAGCAATCTTTGTAAAAATATTAGCAATCGATGTTAAAATATTAGCAATCTTTGTAAAAATATTAGCAATCGATGTAAAAATATTAGCAATCGATGTTAAAATATTAGCAATTAGTGTAAAAATATCAGCGATCAATGTAAAAATATGAGCAATCAGTGTAAAAAAATATTAGCAATTAGTGTAAAAATATCAGCGATCGATGTAACAATATTAACAATCAGTGTAAAAAATACTAGCAATTAGTGTAAAAATATCAGCGATCGATGTAACAATGTTAACAATCGATGTAAAAATATTAGCGAAGATCAAATCAGTGTTTTGTTCTTATTATGCCGTATGTTTATTGACTTTGAGTTTGGATTATGAGTATGTTGATATGTTGGTATGTTATTGATATTTTGTTTTGCAAATTTTAGTGCCTAATTTGAAAAAAAAAAGTACTGGTTTTGTAAGTTTATTATAATAAATTAGCATTTGAAGGAAAACATAGAACAGAACCTTTCAAACCAGAGCATGTTTTGTTATATCAGTGCACATAAAAAACAAGTCATTGCTTGTATTGTAGGTGAAAAATACTCATTCTTAACACCTGGTCATGTTCTCTTTGTACTATTATTCAGGCGTCTCCGTGTAAATCTTTCTTTTGTTCCTATTTTGTCATAAGTTTATTGAATTGGAGTTTGGATTATGAGTATGTTGACAAGTTGATATTTGATGGTTTTTTTATTTATGGTAAGTAAAATTTAGTGCCTGATTTTAAAAAAGGTACTGGTTTTGCAAACTTATCTCTTCCACCGCGATTTTTTCCTAGCTCTTTTCGTCCGCGCAGCTTGATATCAGCATACATAAAGAAATATCTTAAGGTGAGATAAACAACCAGCTTCCGTAAATATGCCACCTCGTGTACATATATATACATTTGCTGTCTGTCCACACTTCTTCATCTGAATTTCGACATCAATTTCTGCCATTTGCATTTTTAGCCCTCTCTAAGCTTTCGCCAGTTTAAGCGCATAGAATAACTGACAAATTCATGATTAATAAATTCACTGTATGGTGTAGCTTAATTTGTTATTTGGAAATGCCATATCGAGTTCTAGTCCTGTATTGTAATGTGTTATTAAGTTCTGCACATAACAGCGGAACCCACCGGCAAACCAACGAGCACCAATCACGTCCAACCGTTATTTCCAGATCAGCGTTCGCGAGATAATGTGTTCACGACTTGTGTTCACTTTAAAGTTTTATCTCCTATAATATCCGATATATTTTAACATATTTGAAATAACATCTAGTTTTTGTAATGATGTTCATTTTGAAATAGTAATAAAACTGACACATGTGAAAATTTAATTGAGTCAACGTGCGTTATGTCTAAATTATCAAGAAGTTTGAAATTTGAATTTCACATTATTATACAATGTTTGCATCTTATCTTAACGTTTCATCAATATAGTATTTGATGATTAGAGATAGATAACGTGTATAAGTAACCACGAGCTATTTATCATATTAAATGGCTCACTCTACTACCACATAGTGAACACTCTTTCCTTCCGGTTGATGCTGACAATAGAATAGAAATCGAAGACTACAATGTGACGTTTCGACTATGACCAAGTGTTAAACAAAGTGTAGCCGAATTGACTTTAGTACATTGTTACCACCTTTTGTATATGTTGGTCTATAATCTGTTTACCATCTCGTCACATTACTTTTTTCTAGTTTTAAGTGTATTATTGTACGACCGAAACAGCTGGTCGATTCCTTACCATCTCGTACACTGCTTAAATCAGTACTAATACGCTTCCCTCTGGTCATTTTTCTGATGAAGGTGACAGTGTAATTAGCAAAACGTCACTCTAATGTCTTCCTGGTTCTGTTAAATGAACTTCTTTTCTACTTTTCAATATACATACACATTTCTAATGCAATCATTATACATTGATAACCGGTATTAAACATTAATTAGCATATTTTGGTTAGGATATTTGTAAGTGCTACATCTTGTAGATAAAAATGTGCATCGGACTTTTTCTCGTCAAAACTATATCATTCTGCCTGCAGAAATACCCAAGCCATAATCGGTCTGGCCTTGAAAACATTAATGCAACAATTGCCACTGTGCAAGAAATTATGTATGAAGTCATTTAATATCACTGTACAAGTTGTGTGAAATACATATCAACAAATAAGATATTATGACATCAAATATGTATCATTAAATGCAATATCACGGTATGAATTGTGAATAAACAAATATTCTGTATCATAACTTATGTGTATCGACAAATGCAATTTCATTGGATGAAAAGTGTAACAACAAATTTTATGGCATGAAATGTATATCAACAAATGTCCTATATTCTATTCTTATACTACAGCAAGTAATTCATTTCAATAGAATATTTTTCTGCAATTTGTATCATCAGATATAATAATATTGTAACCAATGTGTATCTACAAGAATAATATTATTGAAACTAATGTGTATCTACAAATATAATGTTTATGAAACTAATGTGTATCTATAGATATAATGTTATTGTAACTAATGTGTATCTACAAATGTAATATTATTGTAACTAATGTATATCTACAAATATAATATTATTGTAACTTATTCGTATCTACAAATATAATATTATTGTAACTTATTTGTATCTACAAATATAATATTATTGTAACTTATTCGTATCTACAAATGTAATATTATTGTAACTAATGTGTATCTACAAATATAATATTATTGTAACTAATGTGTATCTATAAATATAATGTTATTGTAACTTATTTGTATCTACAAATATAATATTATTGTAACTTATTCGTATCTACAAATGTAATATTATTGTAACTAATGTGTATCTATAGATATAATATTATTGTAACTTATTCGTATCTACAAATGTAATATTATTGTAACTTATGTGTATCTATAGATATAATATTATTGTAACTTATTCGTATCTACAAATGTAATATTATTGTAACTAATGTGTATCTACAAATATAATATTATTGTAACTAATGTGTATCTACAAATTTAATGTTATTGTAACTTATTCGTATCTACAAATGTAATGTTATTGTAACTAATGTGTAAGAACAAATGTCATATTTTATGTTGATCTTATCAACAAACGCAATATGTGAAGCAATGTTTATCCACAAATACAATTATTGGGTAGAAATATTATACTATTGTGTAAACAAATGAAAAATTCTTTAAGTATGTCAGTAAATGTAACATTTTATTATAATGCCTATCAACTATTTTTTGTTAAAAGTATTGCTGATCAATATTCTTTTTTATCAATCTTGCATTATAATATTATATAATAGATTAAGTCAAATGTGTCATACACGTGTTAAAAT